CTTGGATCAAGCAGCTCTTTGGTAGTGGGCGCCTCGTAGATCGTGAGACTAGGCACGGCCCCTTTGATTGCCTGGACCTGCGGCATCACATCGACTGTGGTCAAGAAGATGGTGCAGTTCGTCTTTTCCACGAGTGACTTTTGACCGTCGAGCGAGTTCCGGGGCGATGTAAATAGCGGTACGTATCCTGTCTTCAGACATGCTGCTAGTACCACGAGATACCGTAGATCGTTCGCGCTACGCAATGCGTAAGTATACAACATTTGTGACCGACACGCAGATAAAATTGTTCACTCACCCCATGTAGCCGATTGTCTGGCCCACCTTTACGGCAACACCACAGGTTCGCTCAATCCATCGCGACATGTTGTTCACTGCACGCGCAAGATCGGCGAATGTGACGTGGTGCCATCCTTCGTCCAGGCTGCTGCTTGAACGTGGGACTATAGCCCATGTTGAGTTAGGAACAGCCTCAGCTGCAGAGTCGATGTAATCGGCAACGGTATTTTGCTGTCCTCCTGTATGGTGCTTTTGATGTGTTGTTGCCATGGCTGAGATTATGTATCGATGTCGAATGTGGATGGTGCGATGTGTTTAGCGTTGTATCCAGGACGCGGTCCGACAGGCAGCGACGAGTGAGATAGCGTGTATTGATGGGTGATATACGCGAGTGTTGATTCGAATAACTTTGAGTGATAACAAGATCGACCTTGGGTTCGGAATGAGATTGATGTCTTCTTTTCTGAGGGACTACGAGCTAGATATACTTCGGCGGGCGCTAGCAGGTAAGGTCGAAAGCTTATGCCAGCGAAGAGCGCGGCCGCGAAATGCGGTGATGTTTCACCGGAAGCATGTCCTGTCGCCATGCCGAACGTTGTCCGAACGATTGCGGTGGATCATGAGGCATGAAAGTTGCGCAACATACAGCAGGGGGGCGGCCCGTTAGAATCATCCATGAAGCCTCTGTTCCGTTATATGGACGGAGGCCGATTCGATCTAGTCGCCGCAAGTGATTAATATCTTGTGTAAGATGCTACGCGTCATCACGAAAGGTTAAGGTGAGTTGTAGTGCGCGAAGTTGTTGTGTATGGATGACGCAGTCATGGAGATCCCTGTGCCCATCACCTCGGCCGAGCGAGCGTTTTGATTATTGAGCGTGTCGTGAAGGTCGGATGCTGGCGGCTACCACTCAGGGCAAGTAATACACTCTTAGGACAGGTAATATACTTGTACGAACGGTTGTGAGACATCTACTGTCTTCGTACATCGAACTTTAGACTCGGCGCATTCAAGCATAAGCATCAAGGAGGAACGGCCCGATGAGCGCCACGAAGCTTGACTAAGCGCTATGATGGCGCGACCCCACCTGTGATAGATCCGAGCGACACGCGCGCGCTATCGGATGTGTCCTTACATCCTCGTTGACCCACCTATGCGCTTCAGTAAGCTCAGCCAGGATTCAACGGCTTATGATGTTAACATTATATTGCATCACGCTTTGCGCAAGAAACTGCCGAGACTGTCTTCCACAGAAAGATCGTATTACGGATGGTATCAAGTAGTCGGGTATCAAATAGAGCATCGAACGCCGTCTTATGCATCACTTCATCCGGCAGCAGGTGCAACCCTGGGCGTTTCTTTTTCCTTCTCCCGCCTCTGCGAACCCTTCCTACGTCTTCGCTCCGGCTTGTACACATCGTTGAAGTTGATGTTGACAGCCAGCATCTTCAATTCACCGTCGGGCGAATGTACCAAGTCTCCGAGCAGAATGCTGATTCTCGCTCGGAAGTCTTCCGTCAACTGACTCAAACGCTTTTGTAGGGCTGGCAGAACATCATCTTCGGCCGAACCAGTCATGCCGATCTTGAGGAGCGGGGGTGGGAAAGGCGATTCGTCCTGGCGAGAAGCCGCGCGAGAGTGTGAGGGAGCGAAGGGATCTGAAGATGAACGATCTTTCTCAGAAAGACCCCACCGACCTGCTGCTGTACGTGTCTCGATCTTGGCCGCGTGCTCCTGTCGGCGCGTGAACTCAGCGACTGAGAATGAGTACAAGCCATCCACCGCATCCTTGTATGCCAGCATCGTCTTCAGCAACTCATGGAGCTGCCCCGTGAAGTCGATACTAGAGCTTCCGAGAAGACCTTTGCGGGTGATGTTGTTGAGGTATATCGCATGCGCTTCAATCATGTCATCCAGCGTGCTCTCCGGCTTGTTGAGCGCTCTCTGTAGATCGATCCATGACGACTCTATGACTTCGAAGAGGATGTAGTGTTGCAACTGGTTGACGAAATGAACCATCTCAGCCATTGCGCAGCGTGCTTTCTTCCAATCCGCGCCGAGTTTATCGGCTACGGTGCCGAGAACGCCACGAGCACCAGTCATACATCGACGCCATGTTGAACCAAGGGCAAATTCGACACGCTTGACGCGCCATAGGAAGTTGAAAACTTTGAGATATTGCTTGGAACCAAATGGTGTGACGATGACATCGACAGGCGCATCAATCTTATATTCCAGCGTAAAGACATCCCATCCGATCTCGCCATGTGATAGTTCCAACATGCGTGAGTCGAGGCGGCGCAGTACATCTGAGGTGTCAAATTGGGCGTTGGAGTTGCGAACGGCATGTTCGAGTTGAGCAGTGAGAGTATGGCGATATTGTGTGTTGGCCGGTCGATCAAGGTTGGATGAAAGTGACTCCATCAAGACGGCAATGAAGTCGCCAGCGCCGAGCAACATATACTGCTTAAGGGCCTGCAGATGGTCGAACAGCTTGAACTTGTTTCCCATCAGGTCGATGAGACGAGCCATGGTGGTCTTGTATGCGTCACCGATAGAGCGCTCGAGATTCGCAGTGTCGCCGTACTGCAGCTCCTTTGAGGCTTCCTTGGAGTATGTGTCGACCCATGCTGCGTCTCCACAGCCATAGCGAATGAAGTTGAGGGTTTTGCCGATGAGGAAGACCTTCTTGGCAAAGTCGTCGGTAACGATGGTGGGGACCATCTTGTCGTTCAGTCTGTATTTGTCTTCCCAGACGCTCGTCGCGCCACCTTTCCCCTCGTTGCCGTTCGCCTCGAGGATGTCATCCTCGCTCTGTTCCGAAACAAAGAATTCGCCAAAGGGATCGGCAAGCTCGCCGTCGTAGACCCATTGCCGGAGCATGTCGTAGAAGGGTCGCGTGACATCGGAGAGAAGGCGCTCGGCAAAGTTCATGACGTACGGGTCGCCGTGGTTGAGGGAGAAGGAATGTATGAGAGCAATCAGCTCGCCGCCCTTCTTGCTTTTGGATTCTTCAACCATCAGGCTCATCAAGCGCAAGCCCATGGTCGGTTCTCTTATCCAGATGACGCATCGCTTGAGGGTGACGCCGGCCTTGCTGACGCCCTGAGGTGTTGATGCCTCGTTCAGCTGTGCCAGCGCTCTCTTGATTTGTCCTTCCAAGGTCGCGACCAGGCCCAGGTATGCTCTCAGCTCCTTGGCTAGAGCTGCGCGGAAGCTCTGCTCGATTAGGCCGCCATCGCTCGCCTCAACGAATTCAGCCAAGCCTTTGTACAGTATGGCGGGTTCAGCGAGGGTGTGTAAGAGGCTGACGATGGGGACCGGCAGGGTCGTGGGAAGCTTGAGGGCGGTCGACGAGGGGAATGCGAGGTTTGTCGATGAGTAGCCTTGGAGCGTGAAAGGCAGCTCCCGCAGCAAAGTTGGCTCCGAGGGCCCCGTCTCTGCCTTTTCGACATGTCCACCATTGGCTTGCTGCTGCTCCTTGGCGGTGTCAGGCCGTCTTCGCTTCTCTGGCTTCTCGGCGATGGAAGCTGGACGTGTAGATGTGGGTGCTTTTGGCGATCCGGCATTGACAGGCAGCTGGGCGAGGCCGGGCTTTGCAAAGGCGTCTTGGATGGCGTGGGATGAGGCGGCCACGCTCTGGCGCTTGGACGGCGTCGTCGGTTCGCGCGAGAAGCTGCGGGTATCCTGGGCGGGCGGCGGCTCATGCGGTGCTTCGGCGTTGTCGGAGAGGTTGTAGAGAAAGTAGAGCATGCGCCATTTCTGGTCGAGGACGCTCTGGGTCTCAAGGCGCGAGAGAAGGTTGTGCAGACGCGCGCTCTTGCGCTGGTCATTGTTGGGGCCCGAGACTGTCACATATTAGCCAAAGACACGTGATTCACCGCGCTGCACTTACCCTTGCGGTCTATCAGGCTGGCGATGTGCTGGACGTCGGGAACGAGTGAAGCATCGCCCGCAGTCGTGAGCTCGTCGAGGGCAAACTCGTAGGCATCTTCGAAGCGCTGGTTGGCCTCGTCTTCGTTCTCATTGGGATCTTCAGGCACGATGCGGACCAGCAGCTCGTTCAACGCGTGTTCGACGCGCTCGCGGTGTAGAGTGGCCATGTTGGCGCGCTGGATGGGCGCGAGTCCATTGGTGTTGACCTCGGCGGGGTTGACGCCCGCCCGTGCGCGTCGCCCGACCTCGAGCCAACGCGTCACTCTTCACTCGTCACTTCCAAAGCTGGCCATAACCCATGTCGTATCCTCCAACAAATTGAACGAAAATGTGTATCGTCTTCCATCATGATCAGATGCTAAATTGCAATAGTGTGTATGCAGCAATCGCTTAATGCAACGTGACTTCTAGCGATTTGTGGTGTCACCCGTCACCGTCGTTTGCGCGTGGAATACATCAGCGTTTGCAATTCATCAATGAGTATCGATGTCGTTATGGAGCTCTCAGTCCAATCCATCGTGCAAAATGGCTACGAGCATCTGTCCTTCCATCACCTCCATCCCGCATACTAGAGCTCAACTTCTATGACCAGCCCGGACCAAGACCAGAACCAAGCCCCAGTCTGAGTCAAAGACGCTTTAGTCTTTGTCGACTACCAATACTTACATCTTGGTTCATTTGGCCACAGATCTTACGATACGCCTTTACACCAGTCCACTTCCGAGCACACAGAAGAGGCACTCGACGTAAGTCCTGACTAGAAACCGCCGCCGCCAGCCGCCAACATGGGCACCATGGAGAAGGAAACCGTTCATTCCTCAAGACGGCCTAAGCTCCTGACCTACGAGGAGATACAAGAGTGGTCGCGAGACAACGATTTCATCCATACCGGCTATCGCCCAGAGAAGCCCGACTACAAGGACATCTTCCTCAGTCTGACCTACCTCCACAACGAGACTTGCAATATATATACACACTTGATCGGCGCGATACTGGTATGGCCTGTCGCATACATCTACATGCGGATTCTGGCCGAGCCCCAGTACCACAACGTCCTACCGGCGGACTATGTGATGTTCACCATCTTCTTCTTCTCTTGCGAGTTCTGTCTGCTCTCCAGCGCTGTCTATCACCTGATGCAACCTCACTCGCACAAGGTGGAACAGTTGTGGCATGTAATGGACCTGACTGGCATTGCCGTCATCATTGCTGGCACATTCGTTGCGGCTATCTACTACTTCTTCATCTGTCAGCCTGCGTTCCAGATCTTACACTGGGTCATTGTGAGTCTAGTTGAGGGAACGCTTCCGCGATATGCTGATATTTTCTCCAGACCATAGTCTCGGGCTCGGCCTGCGTCGCTTTGATCTCGATACCGAAATTCAGGACATTGCGCTGGCGCACTTTGAGGGTGGTGGCCTTCTTCCTCTTCGGACTATCAGCCTTCGTTCCCATACTGCATGGCGTCGGCCTGCACGGTTCCAAGTACATGTTTGATTACATGGGAATGAAGTGGTACTTGATAGAGCTTGCGTTGTATGCAACCGGCACTCTGATTTTCGCGGTAAGTGAGATCGTTCGCTCTTGTACTCGGAGAGACACATGAACTGACCATCACATGCAGACTCGGCCTCCCGAAAGATTCGCTCCGGGCAAGTTCGACTTTTTCGGCTCCTCACATCAGATCTTCCACCTTCTCATCTTGGCGGCGATGTGGGTCAACTGCCTGGCTCTTACACAGAGTTTTCGATCAGTTCATACGTTGGATCTATGCCACCGGTAGTCTACTCCTGCAATACGGAGATTTCCTTCCTTTGTGTTTTGCGGAAGGATGGGAACTCGACGATAAAGACGGAGTCCATGGAGGTTGACTGAGAAAGCGAGCCAGGCAACAGACTTGCCACTACCATTAGAAACTCTTGCTTAGACGAAAGTGACTTCTTTTGCTCGCCAGCCAAGATCGATACAAAAGGATGGACCGATTTTACGCATAGAGACGCAACTATACTCACAGTCTGCGATGGACGAAACGCATTGCATAGGCGCAATGCAAGTTTTACAAAGATGCGGTGGGCCCGTAAGATACTGGAGAGAGATTATCCACCCACACTCGCTGGACACCTTCCTCACCGCTAAGTAGACCAGCAGGTATTCAGTATTTTGCCTGACATCTAACGGTGCGCAGATTTCTGCAGCATAGAGTCGTTCTATTCGATGATTGGTTGATCGGTTACACAAGACAATAGCCCCTCGCATGGCTGAGATGCTTTTGGCAGCAGCAGCCTTTTCGGGCGGTAGATGACTGCACCAATCTTGTGTCCGAGGCGCGCCACCTCAGCATCTTGCATTTGACCCCTAGATTGTCGCGCATTGCTTACTCTCCTCCCCGCGTTTCTCCAGAGAGAAGAACCGCATGTTGAGAAAACTACCTAAAGATCGCGCGCATACAACAACGGAGATACACGAATTGATCATATCACCGAGGCAATTTACAGGATTGGAAGAAAAGAAAGCCTACATACTCCGCGATCGAGGTTAGTTTGGTATGAAACATGCGCAATAGTAGTAGTTGCTTACGCCCTCTAGCTTGAAGATAGATCTCCGATATCCCAAGTGAACACGACGACTATTCACTTTGGATCGAGCATTCAAGGGCGCAAGCATGCCTCCTCTCAAGCGACCCTCTGGTCTTATGTTCCAGAGTCATTTCGCAGACGCTGTGGACCTTGACGCACCTGACAAACACGATATCCCTGCTGGAGATGGGTCCGCTTCAGGCGTTAAGAGCCGTGCTAGAGATGTGGTAGACGCTGGTAAAGACTGGTTCGCACGGAGCATGAGCAAGCTGGGACAGAAAGAGAAGAAACTTTGTGCAGCGTGTGAGCGCATCCCGTTTGACGAGTGCCTGCCTCCGTCATCGAAGGGCAACGACGAAACGCCTACTCAGGTACCTCCAAAGCAACAAGCGATCATTTTCTATCGAAGTTTAGAGAAGATACTGGAAAACAGCGGACACTGCAAGCTGTGTAGTTTGTTGAAGCAGAGTGTGTGCCAAGAAGATCACGACCTGCTGAAAGCTGAACACATTCGAAAGCATCTACCCAAGGGATTCAACGAGAACACGAGCATGTCTGTCTGGATCGCAAAGTTCAAAGACAACGTCGATCTGTGGCCCTTCGGCTATACCTCGGACCGCTCGAGTGCTTCCGACTATGCAATGGATGAGGTCGAGAAGCTATTCCGAGACGCCGAAGCCCGGGATACAGCGATGAACAGTGTCAGTGATATGTACCAATCGATAGCAGATGATTCAGCACTGGCAGTCGAAGCGGCACAGCTTGCTCTGAACATGGTCCCACTCTCGAGGATAGAGGACCAGAACGCACGCGAGATGGTTGCGGGACTGCAATTTGTGTTCCGCCAGGTCGCCAAATTCCAGGACATGATCCGTCACAAGTTACCCTGCATTTTCATGTTCAGGATGTATCGTGGCAAGGAGAAAAAGGCTGGAGCTTTGAGTGTTCGCGTTTACGCTCACGGAGGGGCTGCGTTGGCCCCGTTGCAAGAGATTACCCACTTCAGTCTACGGTTCGAGAACATTGTGGAGCCACGACTTTTCGAGAATCAACTCTGGTATGGAAACAGATTGGGAAAACGCATCGACATTGCCTTCTTCAAACATTGCATCAAAGAGTGCCAACGTCACAGCGGTGAAGCTGGATGCGCTAGTTCTTTGAGCAACCCCGTCAAACCCGACGAGACGGAATTTTGCCTCATCAACGTACAGACAATGAGCGTCAAGGTACTTAAGTTTCGTGAGGTCATGAAAGAAGACTCGCAATATCCGTATACAGCACTCAGCTACATATGGGGAGAGCTGAGCTTGCTCGATGGATGGATTCCCGTTTCAGAGGCGAGTTCAGAAAAGACAACAAGATGGAAAAAGAGAACGCCGGATGGTAGTTTGGTCTTCCGAAATGATCGTCCTGACAGAACAAAGCTCACAAGAGGACACGAGTCTGACATTCTGTACAGAGACGGGGGTCTTAAGGAGATGATATCTAGCATACCAAAAACCATTCTGGATGCGATCGAAGTTACCAGGGACGTAGGCTTGGACTACTTATGGGTCGATGAGCTGTGCATCATTCAGGATAGAGCCGACCCTGACAACAAACTCAACATTGGCCGCATGCATATGATATACAACCACGCGCAGTTTACGATTGTTGCAGCCGACGGCAAAAATGCGGGTTCTGGTCTGAGAGGAGTAGGCTGTGATCGGGGCGAGCTCAAGCAGATCAGCGAGGAAATCATCCCTGGGGCGAGCATGTCATTGCCGGTTAACATCAAATGGGACATTCGATTGTGGGAGTCAAGATTATGGACTTTCCAAGAGAAAGCCTTATCGAAAAGACTTCTCGTCTTCACTGGTGGCTGCGCAATCTGGTTTTGTAGAGGTGGTATCTGGAGGGAGGATGTAAACGCTTTGGATGGCGACATCTCCGCCGTCAGGTTCTCTTGGCCTCGCATGGCCGCTACTTCAGCGCTTTCTGGGGACAAAATGGGAGAAGCAGGTCTGAATTTCCGAGCAGATGGCAGCGTTCGTCTGCTTAGACGGGCTGCAATGTATGATTACATTGCAGCAGTCGAAGACCTAAGTGCAAGGGACATCAGCGATGCCTCGGAGATTTTGGATGCCTTCAAAGGTGTTTGTAAGGTCTTGGAAAGCCCCAAGCGTCTCGGCACACAGTTTTGGCAAGGGCTTCCTGTCCAACACATGGACGTTGCATTACTTTGGCAAACTACCAAACCAGCATGTCGACCAGAGAACAGCTCTAGGGACGATCGGATCCCACCCAGCTGGTCCCCTTTTGGTTGGGAAACAAACCTCAAAGCTGAAGGCAATGCCGCTGCGCGTACCCTTATAGAATACCCGAAGCCGTACGAAGTATGGTCGGATGGCAAGGGCATATGTCTGCGTCGTGATCCAGATGGAACAGATGAGGAGGCACGGATGAGAACACGAGGTTCGGAAAAAGTTGCGACTGAGGAGCGTATTCGTCCCATCAGATACACTCTCTGGAGGCCTGATATGTCAGGCCCATCTCTTCAGCCCGTTGGCCTGTTCGGTCGAAAGAAGATAATGGATGGATTCGATCCTCCTGATTGGGAGTCTTCTAACTCAAAAACAGAACAGCCTCGAATCCCACCTGCGAAAACCTTGGATGACCGAACGCTGGTGATATTCGCTCAAACTGCGATCCTCATCCTCCATCAGCAAACCTGGAGGACAACAAGAACCTCCTACGTCAAAAATCACGACGTCTCCAGAATTACCTTCGAGGATAAAGATACCACGTCTGCTACACCAGGAGAAACCATCACAACACGTCAAGAGTACTGGCTTCGCGCCCAGAAGACAGATGGTGGTATCAGCTCCGAAACACGCCCGACGAATGTGAAGGGCGATATTGAAGATGTCAAGATAGGCGTGGGCAGAATCGACGAGTCCGGCTTTGGTGCAATAAACATGAGCGTCAAAGCTGTAGTTCTCTCGGAAGCGCAGTACCTTGGAAACGAAGACGTACCAGATGTGTTCGGGTATCCGTTGTACACTGTGATGCTCGTGCGCCAGATCCAGAAGCACGCTGGAGTGTATGAGCGTGTTGGATTAGGTCACGTTTACAAGAGCAAGTGGAGGAAGCTTTCACCAAGAAAGAAGACAGTGTGCCTGATCTGACTTGTCTGCAATTACATATCTACTTTGCTTATCCGTTAGTGGTAGTAGCGTTCGCTCTTGTACGATTGTTTCGGATTGTAAGAGATTTGGGATGTTATAACTGCTCAAAAAAGACTCAAACGCCTTTTGTACCATGCTGTCTCTGCGCGTTGCTTTCTCTAAGCGGACGCAGGCACGTAAAAAAAGGGTGTCGGAAGGGGTGTGTTCAAGATAGGCCCCACCAGTTCCACACACCGCCGATCCTGGGCAAAAAGAAGATTTTTCCAAAAACATACAACAGTGGGGATTCCCTAGTGGTCACCCACCTAGGTACTAATCCACCGGTACAATGCTTGTATATGGCTGAGCGGACGGGAAGCCTAATTTTCATTGTCCTATGGTCGTATGTGGAAGATTGGGCGATAGGATTGAATATATACCAAGTACGTTGGTCGCCGAGAGACCAGCCAGACTAGCCCCACCATCACGACCTACGCATTCTCAAACTTGCTAGCAATACCACTCCAAGTCTCTCCAACATTTACTGATTCAACACATTTGTTGTCGCTCGCTGTAGCTGTACAGGGAAGCGACGAAAAGGGAAAGCGACATAACGGTTAGAGATAGAAGCATTCTAACAGACGAGATGATTAAGAAGGCAAACAGACCTCTCGATGTCTTCCTAGTGTCTAGTGCTAACTGTAGAGGTATCTTTATAGTCTCTTTTCGCGAAAGCTTTGCCTTGCGTTTAATAATGCCTAGAGTAGCAGTAGCTTTAATAGTAGAACCAATAGTTCCAGAATAACGTTAACACTGCGGGCTAGTAGAGAAAGCCCAACGTACACGAGTAGAGTTATTAACGCGATAGTAGACATCTGCGTTATTCGCTTTACAGAAGACGAGTGTATTAGGTTTATCAGGTTATCTGGTTCTTCGAAGTTAACAATATCAGGGTTATTAGGTACCAAACTATGTGCGACATTGCTGCTTTAAGTCTTCTTACTGTTGTTTTGTGTAGTGGTTAAGTCTAACATGCTACTAAGAAGTCTGTAACGCAAGTATAAATATCCTTGTTTAGGCTTTGACTACGTATAGTTGTTTGCATCGGTGATTTGGAAGCAGGTTTGCACATGTCCGCGGGTATCGCTTTGGCTAAGCTTAATTTGGGCTGACACTGCTGCGGCGGCAGTTGTGCTGCTTCTCTCTACAACTAGGGCGCGCTGAAACAGGAAGTCTAAAGCACTTTCACTCTTTTACGGTTGGCGCACCTACCTCTACGCTAGTGTAAGCTTATCTTTCGTACAAATATTGACACTCTTACTCTTCTGCTCTACTCTAATAATTCTTGATCTTTGCGTTTACACCAACTCAGCCGTTTTAGTCGCAGAAACCGCAATACCAATGATGTCGGGCAACCCCAAGGCGACATCGACCACCCTTCATTTGTGGACTCTCGATCCTTTCATCCGCGAGCTTCAGTCATGTCCAGCTGCTCGTGCAGCAGAGTTCGCCGATCTCATAATCCCTGGCCGTATCAGTCTCCTCAGTGTTGAGAATGGCAACGCTGTCCAGAGTTCTGCTACTGTTTATGGTGCCTCCAAAGTCACTGACATTCCGGAATTGACACTCTACAGAACAGGCGCTGGTTGGCCACACCCGCGCTCACTGAGGAAGATCTTGGAGAAGCACCAGTGCTGGGTCGACGAAGCGCAGTTATATCCGCCTAGACCCGCTCCTCTTTCTCTCCGTTTCTTAGAAGGTGACGCGAGTCGGGAGAGTATAGCTCGAACGCTTGTGGAATACCTAGACGATCAACACTATGCCGCATACGCGACGACGCTCACATTCCGATCGCCTGTAATAGACCGTTGTCTCAGACTTTTCCAGGGCGAGAATGAGACTTCGAGTACGCTCACCCGATCATCCACCGACACCACTTCGATCATGTCCTGTGGTGCCCTTCTTCCCTTGGAGGCGTCAGCCCTGATGAGCACCAGTACCATACATGTCATTACTGGTGTGCGCGTGTACATCGTGTATCCGCCTACGCCACATAATCTGACGACCCTGCACGAGTATCTCAAAGATCTTGCCGGAAATGTCCCGCCATACTGCACAAATGTATGCCATGAGTTGGAAAACGGTATTGCCTTCGTTCAGCGTGCCGGCCAGGCTGTGACTATACCACCATGTTGTCCAACGGTGGTGTTCGCAACCAAGACCAGTGCCGCTATCACCGTCCGTTCTCGGTGCGTGGAAGACTTGCAATTGCGACTAGAGCATCTCGATATCCTGATGGCTCAAATTGTATCGATACAGCTCATATGTCGGCAAGCACCAGAAGAATCATTGGAATACCACACCACACAGCTGTACAAGGACATGACGACCGTTCTTAGAGCGCTTGAGCCGAGTGCTGCCAGCCGGGCGTTGCTCTTAGCCTTGGGCGCTGTATGGGAAAGGGAACACTCTCGTTTCCGTGGTCTCGTAGATTTACATGTCGAAAAGGCGCTGAGAGAGCATATTCGCCGGAATATCCCAAGAGTATGGAGCCTAGCGGTTCAGAACCAAGGCCTCAGGCATTGTCCTGTATGCAACGTGAGCATTGAAGGTCATGGTGTGGTATTCCTCACCCACTTTCGAACAGAGCACTGGGATGAGGGCGGTTCTACTCACCCAGACAAGGACGAGTTGGTGTCTTTAGCAGATGAGGGTCCACCACAGCTCACTGGAGATGGCGACATGTTAGACGACGGCGACCACGCTGGCTCTCGTCTAACCGATGGATGAGGTGAGCCGATCGCCATCCTCAAGTTCCGACATCAATGAAGTCTGTATTCTCAATGGACTCTATTATCAGTCGAGAGCACGATGCCGCTGTTTGGGGACATGAACTGGATCGCGGTCCAGGTCGCTCCGGACGCATCGGAGGCAGCGATGCAGATAGCTGCACGGATAGCGTCAATAAAGTTGCGCAAAGTTGCTCATTCATTGGGGCGATCTCAGAGTAGGTGATACACGATGTTTGACGAAGTCGAGTTCCTGAGATGAAATGCTGGTGTGAAGGCGGATCGGAAGCGGAAGACTTCCGCATTAGCCCGGACTTGGTTAGCGCTAGCGAATGACGTATACAAGCACCCTGGAACTACTGAAGTTGTCTGCTACCTAGATTGAGCGCATTTCCCAGACTTCTTTTCCCTACCTCATTTGATAATTGTAAGGACTTTAGTGTAGTAGAATAATCGACCATTAGGTTTTTAAATGGATATTATGTACGAAACGAAAAGCTTTTCACGGTACACTCAACCGCCACATATTCACAAGTCTGACCTGATCCAACTCCAGCCCGATCCTATATCCAAGCCGTAACGTCCCATTTAGAGACGTAGATATTTAACACAGGCACAGCTTCCATCAACCTTCCCGGGTAATGGTTTCCAGTCTTCTCATCAAGGCCGGACGGCTAGTGGAGATGTCATGTTCGAAAGCATGTGGAGATGTCATGTTCGAAAGCATGAGCGCCCGGGCGCTGTTCGCGAGTCTTTAGCGGTACATTCCGTGCGAGCACCCCCGTGGCCCGGAGAAAGAGACCGGCGTTTCGTACAAGTATGGCGAAGAGAGGGTCGGAAGACGCGATGATCGCCGTTTTGGTGAGTTTGCTGATCGTGAAGCTGCTGACAAAGTACTGGAAGATGATGATGATGAAGATGCCGAGCGCGTTGAGTCCAAAGAAGAGCGTGGAGAGACGTCTGTCGATTGGAGAGTGACGATGCCGGACATGTCAGACATTTCGAGACCATCTTCTGGAAGCTGTCGACGCCGACTGGATCGCGATTCGTCTTTGCGGAAGATTTGAGGTAGTTGCAGAAGTTCTGAGAATTGGAACATGATTGCTGATGCAATGCTACGATTGCGGACAGCGGCCCGCCTTTTCAAGGCCAGATGTCTCCTTTGTAGGACAGGGATATCAAGGAAACGACTTCATATCACAGGTTAACGCTAGATAAGAAATGCGCAGCGAAAGCGGCAACGGCTCCAGCTCTAGCCCTTGGATCCCTCTCCAGACTTTCTCCAAAATTCTGTTCTTGCCAGTCTTTGTACACGCAACGACGGTGTTTTGCGCTGGATATCCCGCTTCCGTTGGACGTGTGACGTTGTGTCATGTAGCAAGCCGGCGGCAGCTACGTAGGCTATTCGGCTCATGTTGCACGACAGAGGGCTTTCCTGGGGAAATAGCACTTGCGCCAAACAAATCGCCTCTTGCGATCATACACTAGCGAGACAGAGACGGGCTACGCCTACTACAATTACGCCACCAAGAGGCCTTGGTAAGATCAGGACAGCTCTGATTTGGAGAAGCTTCCAAGTGGCAGGAGAAGCCTGCGACGCGTTAAGCAACCTAAATCGACGAGAATCACGGAAACTTTCTCTCTGTCATGTCCCGCTTATGACATCGGCGTACCGCATCTCATTGTAGGCATGACACCGCCTTCCACGTGGCATACCTAGGTAAGTCACGGGTAGAAACCGCGGCAGCTTGTCACTACCCCCAGCGGGCCGATCAGAATTAATCATCTCGACGGGAAGAATTCACATCAAGCGGAGGATCTACCCCAAAAGAGACTGGCAGACGCACCCCTCACACGACTGAACTTCATCATCGAACAATCTCGATGATGGCCACGGATTTGGTCGATCGAACAGCCATATCTACGATCGATAGTATATCGATACCCTCGGTAGCCTACGTTGAGTCTTCCACTGGGCGATGAAGCAACGTACGCTATAACAAAACGCCATACCCTCAGCGATTTAGGCTACAGTAGCAGAGCTTAGACATTTAACGTGTCGTACGAACCGTGAGTGGGGTTTGCGGCGCTATGGACATTCTTGCAGAGATGATTGGTACATATGTGTTCCCACAAAGTATCGACAATAACGCCACTGTTGCTAGCCTCAGCACCGTATACCCTTTCATCAAGAAACGTCGTCGAACATCGTGGAAATATGACGTGATGCCGATGGGCAGGTACTAATCATGGAAAGCTCCGCAGTAGTATGCCACCGTTTCATTAATGCGTCCAGTGGACGGCAAACCCTTCTTCGAAGCTACATCATAGTGCAACCCATACACCACACCCGCGGCAGCCGCTATGGCTCTCGAGTCCCCTCTTCCCCGCTGAAGGCTCCCGTCACTAAACCAGGTCGTCGGAAGATGACTCGCTCAGATTGTCGCACGCAAGGGATGCACACACCAGCATTTTGAGAAAGCGTTGCGCAAAAGCAGTACTTCGCCACTGAAGACTCTGCATCGATTATACGAAGGCATCAACAATCTCGGGCGGCTGCTGGATCGAAGACCCTTCCCCGTACGAATCAATACGCGGTGTCACCTTCGAACTGCCGTGACACCTGTGTGCGATGCCATATTCTGGTCGCTATCCACTTCACCTCATAGTACCGCGATGACGCAGAGCGAGACGAGCTACTTACAACTTCCGCAACATTGACAATCTAGTCAAACAGATACTCTCACGAATGAGATTAATCGTAAGTTTGATATATTGACACTGTCTACGATTTGGGCTGGTCATGGTCGGGGGATAGCGACGTAGGACCGATGTACCTAAGTAAGCGTACCCAGAGTCCACTCACCTTCATCTACAAGGACATAAAATGACGTAGAGCATACTTACACCCTCCACCACTACGAGCCGAGGGATCACATGTGCAACCATTGATTGGACAGAAGAGTGAAAAGAATGATATGCTAGTAATACTCCCCATCTCCTCGTTGGAATATGCGTAGAAAGCAAGAAATGAAACGCAGAAAGCAATCGCTGATTTGTATGAGGGATCTATCATCCGTAGACCCCTCCAGACTGTACTTTTCCCCATCGCCTCCCAGGGTGTCACCTTCCTGCTTTCTGGAAGTCTTCGTCGGCTTCGGGCTTCGTCAACTTCGCAGCAGCGAACGGAAGTCGTCCTCAAACGTGGTTTTCGTTCTGCTCTTTGACGTGGATGGGTTTCTTGTCCTCGTCGACTTCCATGTCCTCTGGGGTGGATACGCTAGAGATTTTCTGGCTCTCGGATTTGATGCTGTCTTGCCCGTCCATCTCGGTCTTGACAAGCGGTCGCAAGCGCACCATAGACTCGATTATTTGAAGTGCCGTCTTGTGGTTGATCTGGCCCTTGACATGCTGCCATAACTCAAGATCGAGATAACCGGCCAAGGCATCAATGATGAGGCCTTTGAGCTTCTCAGGCGCGTTCTCGTCCTTCATAGCGTGCTCAAAAACGACTCTCACAATGTCGTCAGCGGCGGGTGCCGTGCCATATCCTATGAGCGTTTGGAAAGAGGTACCATCGGCATCGGCGCGCTCGATGCTGGCGTTGGTGACGTGGCACAGCGCGTCACGGAATCTGATGGCGAGCGCAGCAACACCGAGCCTCTCAGCAAGTTTCATGACAGCATAAGTCTGTTCGGACCCTTCGAGCGGTTGCGGACCCTGGTAGATCCACTGCATGAGCGCTCGAACTGTGGACTCTTCAACATCGGGAAGTATAATACGATGTTGGGCGGCCGCCTTCAAAGGATCTTGCTCTGCCTTGCGGATCTCGGACTTGTTGATGCGGTGGACGACGGCAAAGAGCTTTGCGGCTACTTCATGTACAGCTTGCGGCTTGAGGATTAACAAGCGGCCTGCCAGACTCAAATCGGCTGACGGAGCTTGTGCCGTTTTCCTGTTGTTCTTGGCGATCATCTCGCCTGCTACTGCGTCCATGATGGTTTTCTTGACAAGACCAGCATATCCGAGCAGAGGGTAGTTCTCGGAGGCTTCCTTGATCAATGGTATAGCCTGTAAAGTGTTAGCAGCAGAACACCAAAAGTGTCCCCCATGCAAGGAAGAAACCGGGTGTATGGGCCACTGATGCTCGGTCGGCCACATCCAGGGCATACTGACAAGACATACCTGTCTATCCATCTTTTGGTCTTCGAACTCCTTGGCGTTGACCTCAGGAAACACGTATCGGGCCAGATCGTTTCGGAACTTGTCGGCCTTTTCGTAGTGGACCATGATAGGCTTGGCCTTTGCGAACATAGCTTCGAGTTTCTTGCTGTGGCAACATATCATCTCTTTGTGGTAGGTGAGCTTCGTCTCCAACTTGGGCCCGCATTCGATAGTAATGGGTGTTTGCATCAGCATGCTGCACAGGTTACATTAGCACGCAGACATGTGAAGAAGTATATGAACAGATCTTACGGCGATGGGTTGACGTCGACAAGACCTGGAATATGTGGAAGTTCGATGAAATCATCACTGTTATCCATCCTGGGTGGATGCATGGAGACGGATGAGCGTTGGGTACTGGGAGCGGGATCAATCGAGGCGCGCGACGGTGTCGCCGGAGGTGTCGTAGTCTTAGAGGTATCCATCATGAAGTGACAGGTACTTGTAGCTGGTGGTCGTCTGCGTGCGAGAAGAGGAGAGTTAAGAAGGTAGGAGAGATGGAGGGAGAAGACAGACCTGACAGTGTTATATATGCTGGGCGCAAGTATTCGTGGCCACTGTCTCTTACCTTAAAGTAAAAGAGCCTAAGCAAAGGGTCCACCCAAAGCGGGCCTGAGATAGCAGTCACTTCGATATCACCAAGGACGGCAATCTACCAACACAAATAGGAATGTAGAGGTGGACGGTGTTACTGACTGCTGCGTGGATGATGAAGATAGTCAAGATGGGTAATGTTCAATTCTAAAAGTGGTAGCCTGCCGCAGCAGTGTCGTGACATGGTATCGATGTATACTCCAAATCACCGCCAACTCCTTCCCATGCTGTGATCAATCATGCATAGCCGTTCGAGGATTATACTATATCTTCCTTCGTTTGCTCGCGGTGGGCAGGTCCTCTTCTTCAACCGATGGTGTACCCTCATTTCCCGCGCGTCCACTATCCCTCTCCACATCTCTCCAAGTACTGACTAGGCCCTGGACTGTCTGGAACATGTCTCTCGCATCGTTCACCACGCCGTCCTCTCCAGGATTGAACATAACGGCGTTGACAAACATGCGCATGAGCTCCTTCTCCAGTTGCGCAGCGTTGACTATGGCCTTTGGCGGGACATTGTCAGCCGTCACAGGTAACTCTACAACGCCTCCCATGACACCGCCGGGGCTCCCTGTGGGATTATCCGACGCGGCTGCAGCTGCGGCAACTTGCTTTGAGCCCGTTGCGATGGCTTTCTTGATGGAAGAAAGATCTGTAGGGCGCTTGATGATGTCGTAGTATCCTTCGGCATCCTTCGCGCGCACGGCGGTATTGAATGTCGAGGCATGCTTGTGGGAGTTGATATCGTACATCATGGGTGCCGTCATGCGGGCGAAGTTCCGTGGCGCGACCAGCGTCTTGGGCGGACCCGGGGTGCTGAAGGACGCATCGTCATTCTCTTCAAGAGAGGCTTCGCGGGCATTGCGCTTTCGACGTGACGAGAGGGATGAGGCCGGAGCTGCTCCACGGCGTCGTGTGGACATGTGTGACGGTGTTCCAACAGAACCTTCCTCTTCAGTGGGGTCCACCGAGTTTCCGCGCTCTGACTTGATGCGACGACCAGCTTGCGACTCGTTGTCACCTGCTACTGTGTCGGTATGCGAGAGGATGGACCGGCTTCGACTTCGATCCCGCACAGAGCCACCTGCTCGGGAGGAGGCTATGCTGCCAGGTCTTGTTCGTTTCGCAGGAGCTTTTCTCCGCGAACGTCCGGACCGAGTCTCGGGCTCCAATAAAGAGTCGTCTTCTTGGTCATGGTGCTGAGAGTTTTGTGGTGTCTCGACGTCTATCGTAGACTCTTGCTCTGCCTCTTTGCCTTTTCCCTTTGTCCGCGCTTTGCGCTGCGTCTTCGCCTTTGGTGGTGTCTGTTTTGGCCGGATCAGTGGCGGTACGTCGTCGAGAGGAAGCACTTCGGGGCGCGGGCTCGCAGAACTTCCAGGTGTCCCGGTAAAGCTTGATCGTTTCCAAAGACTCTTGGCTGACACCGGGGTGGCTAGAGCGCTGTGCGGAGAGCGCGCATTCATCGGAGTGGAGAAAGACTGTCTCGCCTGGATGACGAGGGGATGCATCTGAGGCGCGCCTGATCTGCCGGTGCCGGTGCCGGGAGTCTGTATGTTTGCTCTGGGCTGCTGCCGATTGCTCGCAGGCGTGGAGACCTGAGGGTGGTGCGGCGGCACAGCGGCTTGATGGTGGACGCGCGAGGGGTCTTGAGGCGCAACTTGGAACGGTGGTAGCATGAAGCCTGCCTGGGGCGGTGGTTGGGCCATTTGCGGTTGCAGTGGGTGGTAGGGCTGGTGACCAGGAGGGGGATAATGCGCTCTCTGCTGTTGCCCATGGTGAACTCCGGGTGAATGAGGCCCAGAAGGTTGTTGCATGGGGAACTGCTGTGGAGGGTATGGCGGTTGGGAGCCCGGTGGCCCATACTGCGGCGCGCCGTTCATCGCGTAGTTCTGGCCTGGCTGGGGCTGGAACTGAGGCCCGGGAGACCCCAGCGCTGGTGACTGTGGCTGCGGAGCATGGCCGGCATTCTGGTGCGAGCCTGGCTGGGGCTGTATGTTCTGGGGGTAGTTGTAGTTGGCGTGGGGTTGCGGCGGTTGCTGGAATCGCGACGGTGCATGTGGCTGAGTTGGGTTTGGCTGTGGTGTCGAAGGCGTCCGTCGCCCATCTGAGGAGGGATGCGGCCTCTTGCGCTGAGTTGGCGAAGGGTGTCCGTTCTGGTGTGGTGGCGCGGATGCCGGCTGTTGTTGAGATGGATCTGGGGAAGGCGCGATGACGGGCGCTCCACGTGTGCCGTTCTGGACGGGGGTGGAGCTGGCATTCGGCTGCAACGTCTTCGGGGCGAGATGCGGCGACTTCCTGGGCAGCGTAGGACTGCGCGATGACGGTGTCCGGCTGCTTGCCTTCTCGCGCAGCTGATCGTCCCACTCTCCGCGCTCGATGCCCTGGAGGTCGCGCTGCAGCCGCTCGTATCGCTCCTCCTCTATCCGGATCTGTTCCGTGATCTCATATCGATAAGACGCGTAGAGTTTCGTCACAAGCTTCGGGATCAGGTGCTGGTGCTGCAGCGACTCCTGCACCGTCGGCAGACTTGGGCTATGCCTCTTTCTCTTGGCCGGGTTCGTGACTTCCCCGTTGGGGCCATCGCTGTCGCCGCCCTGCTCGTGCTCGAGCTCCCGCTTCAGACGCTCCAGGTAGAAGTTGCGCAGCGCATCGGGGCTGAGGCGGCCGGGCTGGAAGTACCTGTGGGCGGCCACATCGGGGTGCTTCTTCAGCAGGTCGGAGATGCGCCCGAAGACAGACGGGGCGACACCGTAGGCATGCAGGCACTGGAACAGCAGCAGCGACTCGAGGTTGGTGTAGGCGGAGCCGCTAGTATTCATCCCCCAGGCGTGTGCAGCGCGAGGGCGATGGGCCTGGGGCGGAAGGGGAGCCACGGCTGCGGGCGCGGGCGCGGTGGGCGGAGAGGCTGCTACGGCGGGCAGACGGGCATCGCATGCGAGAGTCGTGATGGGCGCAGCGGGCGGGGAAATTGAGCGAGATGGACGGGGGCTTGGTGGTGTCGAGGGAGATTGTCGCAATGTCGCAAATTGTCGTCGGGGTTTCGCAGCCCAGCCGCCTGAAGCCCCCATCGGGCGCCCCCGGCCAGGGCCAATCAGGCGCGTCCGGCCTCACGTCGCCTCACGCGAGCGCGGGGCCAGAACCAGACCTGACAGCGGGCCCTGATGTACTGTGATACTTTGGGATAGCATAGCTTTATAGCCCTATATGCCTCTACATCCTGCTGCACCTGCACCTACAACTTCCTGCTGTTGTCGTTGTGCCCGTATCGTCGGCCATTCTTCGTCGGGCACTCGGGAGCGGCGCTCAAACTATCATTGATCCCTCGCTCCTCCAAGCTCCACCTCCGATCTACGCCCAAATTAGCTTGGGGCATAGGCGTCCCCTTTTCCTAACATTGCAATCGTCCTTCCCTCTCTATTCCAGGGTCGCCATATTATGCTCCCTCCCCTCCACCCCAGGTCTGGCTGAGTTGCATGAAACATCTTTGATCCGCTGAGCCACTTGCCCATATTTGTCTACTCTTGCACCAGCCCATAAATATATCCACCGTCCCCGAGCCTCCCCACGCCGCCTGCTTCTTGCATAACCCGCTCCTGCTCCCCATCCCATCACCATGACTTCCTCGTACCCTGCACACTCGGCCACCATGGACGACCCAGACCAAGGCTGGAAGCCAAACAACCGCCCTCAATCGTGAGCTCTCCCGGCGCTAGCATAGCTCCCGCCTGTCTGAGACTGACCACGCGCGCAGCACCCTAGCCCGCAACTTCATGTCGGAGCTCGACAGCCTGTTCAACTTGGACGAAGGCCTCGCGACCCTGGACAAGACGGTCCTGGAGAAGTACGGCCCGCCCTCTTCACCGCTACTTGGAGCCCGCTGACAGGCGCGCAGGAAGCAGGCAGTCACGACCCAGACCAAGGAGCTCGAGGCCCTCGAGGCCAGGCTCAAGGCCGCCGAAGAGCGCCTCAACCAGGCAAAGAGCAACTCGCCCCCAGCCAAGAACGACACCCAGCGCGAACAAGACGCCGCTCGGTCACAAGGGGCCGCCAGCCCCCTTGCATCAAAGTCCCAAAACATGCCAGGTGCGCTACCAGAGACACCGACTCCTACATCGACTACCAGTGCTGACTATGTCCTGGTAGAGAGGCCACTGTCCGCCAAGCCTGAGACCTCATAGTTCTACCTCTTCATACGATACCACGATACCCCGGCATTGCGCCCACATCCATGTACACTGCTTGATCTCTGCGGTTGGGAGACTGCATCTTGGAAAGGGGCATATACTTTATAATCGACGATGGCATTTTCACTTCTGGTTGGCGACATCTCTTGGTGCTGCATGTCTTTCTTTGGATGGGTTAGCTGCAAATGCTACATAAACTTCATCTTCTCTTTCCATTTCCTATGTGGTGTTCTGCTCAGTCCGGCTATACGGCACTAACTCCGTAGCTTCGAGCACAGGCCTTGTGTCTCGTTACTCCACGCGCTCGACTCACCACCTGGGCAACAACTCACCGCACAGTCAGCAGCTCAACATGGACAACGTCACGGAAGCAGCGCTCACCGAATCATTTGACAAGCTTGTCTCTGAAGGTGTCATTGTCTACGGCCCCAATGAGTCTATCAAATTAGATCACGAAGGCTACCCGGTAAGCTAGTCCAGCAACGGCAACAGTCACACCAGTCCTTACTCACACCTTGGCCAGATAGAGTTCCGGATCTGCCCAGCACTAGCAACCAAACCTCACACCGTAGGCGCCGCGAACCATGCTTTTGACAAATCACGAAAATATGGTCCTGGCAGCGACATGTTCTGTCCAGACGAGCGACTCAACATCACACAGCTCAACAGCACGCACGACCTAGCACTCAACCTTTTCTGCGTCGATAGGCCGCAACTGCTCATGTTGACTCTGGACTCGTACAAGCGTCAGCACGAAGCTCTTGACCTAGATGACTTTGAGGTCATGCTGCAAGTGTTACGGAAGCTTCCAAACTTCTACGTCATCTTCAATTGTGGCGAGAAGGGTGGATGCAGTAGGATACACAAGCACCTCCAGGGCTTGAGAGGGCCGCCACATGCTTTCGACCACATCATGACTTCTCTCACCGACGCATCGAAGAAGGTACCTTTCCAGTTCTTTGTCCATGAATTCAGTCATGGCTTTTCGAATACGCCCGCTTCGACAGTTCTTGATGTGTATAACACATTCATTGCGCGGTGCCGCACGCTCATGGGCACGTGTGAGAAGGAAACACCTCCCCATAACGTCATCATGTGGGCCGATCGTCTCGTGGTTGTTCCACGTCGCAGAGGGGCCACAGAGGGAGCAAGCGCGAACGCTGGAGGCATGCTAGGAAGCGTATGGATATCGGGACAGAAGCATGTGGATGAGTGGTTGAGGCTCGGCTACGCGAATGTGTTGAGAGAGCTGGGGGTTCCAAGTTGTTGAGAGAACGCGGTGATGCTGTTCGCATTACACGCATACGAGCAAGTTGTTATTGAGGCGCATCCAGGCTGGTCAATCTCCATCCTCCTTCCCATCCAGGCACTCGCTTCGCTAAGGTACTCGCCAAACTGCAGCACGTCAACATGCTAACGAGCACCACGAGATCACGTACCTGGCATTGCCCAGACTTTGTATTTGGCCTATCTCGTAGCCAAGACAAGCCAGCGTAGTCTTCGAAACCCGCACCTGCCTAATGCGACAAGCTCAACGCCTCCGCGCCAATCACACTCTTCTACCCACGTCGTCCGCAGAACGTGCCAAGTGATGTTGTATATTAAACCACCGTCCAGATCTTGATGTGGAGTTCCGAATTCCTTGGACTGCTAGCCTCCCGCGCTTGCATCATCTACGTTGAGCTCCTTCGAGTGTACATCTCCCGTGCTTGCAGGAGATCTGCCAGGAGTACGGGGTGAGTACCTGCCTAATCGATGCGAGACTTGGGGTAACAGGTAGGACTGTGTCCGCGGTACTACACACTGGATGGGAAGGTGGTTTGTGGTCTGGTGTGACCGTTACACGACTTAAAAGCAGGCTGTCTCCCCAGCATCATACTGCACTGCACTGCACAACTGTCGTTGCATTCATTGCCTATCATGAAGACCACCATTCTTACCTCGGCGCTCCTTCTTTCCTCCACGGCGCTTGCCACTGTTGTCCCAAGGGCTGGCAAGAAGGTCGACTACAATGGCTTCAAGGTACTACGTGTAGCTAGCACCGATGCTGTAAAGGCAGAGATCGAGAGCTTGGCTGCACACATCCTCAACCCTGGCACATCTGCCGAGTTGGATGTCGTCGTTTCACCTGAGAACGTCGACGCCTTAACAGCCTTGGTGGCTGAGAGTAAGGTGCTGAACGAGGATGTCGGTGCAGCGCTTGCTGAAGAGGGAGAGATGAGCGTTTATGCTGGTTTGTAGAGAGCCTTATTCGTACCATGACACTTGCTGACGATATTTAGTTCCTAGCGAAAGCTGGTTCACTGCATACCACCCATATGCCGACCACATCCAGTTCCTCCGGGATCTGCAGGCTGGGTACACCGGTCAGTCTGAGATCGTCACTGTCGGCACCTCTGTCCAGGGACGAGCCTTGACTGGTATTCATATCTGGGGTAGCGGCGGCAAAGGCTCCAAGCCTGCGGTCATCATTCACGGCAACGTTCACGCACGAGAGTGGATTACCTCCATGACCACCGAGTATGTCAGCTTTTACAAAAACCCGAATTCATCTGCTAACACCAAACAGGTACTTCGCGTGGCAACTACTCACCAAGTACGGCTCGGACGCAAACATCAAGTCCCTCGTCGACAAGTTCGACTTCTACATCACACCCATCGCCAACCCAGATGGCTTCGTCTACTCCCAGACAACCGACCGTCTCTGGCGCAAGAACAGGCAGACTGTGAGCGGCAACAGCTGTGTCGGCCGTGACATCAATCGTGAGTCTTCTTTCACCTTCACCGAAGAGTACATCACTAACACTTCTTCAAGGCAACTGGCCCTACAAGTGGGAAGTCACAGGCGGAGCTTCCACAAACCCCTGCTCAGAGACCTACAAAGGCGTAGCAGCCGGCGACGCCCCCGAGCTCCGCGGCCTGAAAGCGCAAGTCGACTCGCTCAAAGCCTCGCGTGGTATCCGCCTCTACCTCGACGTGCAGTAAGTATTGATACCTCCATACTCATTTTTTTCCTACTCACCCCACCCAGCTCCTACGGCCAATACATCCTCTGGCCCTACGGCTACGACTGCGCCCTGCGCGCCGAAAACGACGCCCAGCACCGCTCCATCGCCACCCGCGCCCAATCCGCTATCCGCGCCGTCTCCGGTACCGCTTACACCATTGGCCCCAGCTGCGCGACGCTTTATGCTACAACTGGTTCTTCGACCGATTACACTGATGTTACGGGTAATGCGACGTACTCTTACACGTACGAGTTGAGGGATAAGGGCACGTATGGGTTTACGCTGCCGGCGAATCAGATAAGGCCGACTGTGTTGGAGACTTGGGCGGGGGTTGCTAGTATGCTTAGGGATGCTTAGGGTGGGGGGTGGTTGTTGCGGTTTTGGATGATCTGATGTATCAATTTATGTTTTGCCAAATCATTGTTTCTTCCACATAGACGTGGGTGTACTACGCAGCATCACAAAGCCCAGGATCTGATCTATTGCGCTTGCCCGTACGCGCTGACGGTACTTCCAAGATTGAGCACTGCTCGGCGCGCAGCTTAACTCTCTCGTGCCACTGCCTAGCTGCGTCATTGTTGGATTGTATAGTGTTGGGCAGTGGCTTCGATGCCTGCGGGATAGGATCTTGTCACGACTGTAAGTCAGTGCCAGGTTCAGCCGCAAGTTTGTAGGTGCGGGGGCGGAGATACCTAGGTAGGCAGGCACGTTGTAGGTAGCGCTGGGGTAGAAGGTTTGAAGCGAGGGGCCACCTTATACAAGGCAAAAGCCGGACACCTTTTCTTATGAAGCAACATACCATCTCTTGACTTGTGACACTCGTAGCTCGGAAGCTATGTAGTCCCAAAAGGGCGAGGAGCTGTTCTTAGTATACTGAAGAACATATTACCAAAGGAGACGATTATCTTAGAGCCTACCTGGGTACATTGAGGTAAAAACATGCAAATTGGGTGGCGCAACATTGACGTATGCTCTAGATTGTTTGATTTTTCCTTGTATGCGGTGGGGCTGAAAGGGTGGGCGCCTAATCGTGGGGGCGGTTGAGTGTCTATTCTTGTAAACAGCATGCGCGAGCCCGGCGAATGCTCCCTAGGGTGTCAGATCAATGCAAGCGATTGTATACCGAAGTAACGTTGGTGCTCGCTCTATTGGTCCGCTTTCAAAGCCGAGCTTGCCAAGTCCTGTTGTATCATACATCTGGCTGCGCTCCGGACACGGGCCGCCTGAAACGTCACATCTTACTTGCAGACGGCAAGAGACCAACGAGAACAACCCTCCCGGGGTCTGTTCAGCATGCATCGATCCCTACTCCTCAGCCTTACTTGTTTTACGATACGGTCCAACAGTTTGACTAGACTACGAACCGTCACAAACTTCTCAAGCTCTGGCATCCTTGAGGCGCTATGGAGAATACCAGAGGAAGCCACCATAGTGGAGTCGGGCTTCAAGCCGGAGGGAACCGCCATCACGAGATGGAAACTCAGCAGTTGCTACCATTGACATCGACAGCGCATTCCAGAACGAATACTCACAGATCTCATCGCGCATCAATCTCCAATGTTTCTTGTGTAAGCTCCGTGGAGCCTGGCGGCGAACGAAAGTATTCATATGGCTTTATTTGCACTGATCGTTCTAACACACACTCAGAACCACAATGGATGCCTTTTGCGCTGCGCTGGCACTTTATCACCACCGCTGCCGGGTTTTCTATCTCCTGCGCAGCCATCACGTTTGCATTGTATCGGTACTCACATAACAACAACGGGCTGTGTGCTGAGGATTCAGCAATGCCGGGCTGGAAGTTCATACCCACGCTGATCGCTGTCGTCTATACACAATTAACCGGAATCATACTCGGTGCTGTCAAACGGACAGGACCTTTTGCAAGAATGGGCAAAACGGACGGACGTACCCCAGTTGCCCGTTATACTTTACTCGAAAAGGCTAAGCCATGGTGGACAACTCTTACTCGAGGATTTCAAAGGCGAAGAAATGGCGGATCATGGAATTGGGTTACAATCCTCTCATGCAGCACCTATATCCTGGCCATACTTGGAATCTCACCGATGTCTGCTGCACTACTGAGAACAAAAGAGATACACCAAACAAGTCCGGATACACTTGCACGACTAGAAATGCACAACGGATTGATGCTACAACCTCGAGCTGAGCGAGATACGTATCTGCGAACTATGGGCGCGATATTTCAAAATTATAGCTCCTCCCCCTGGATTACTGACGACTTTGTCATCTTACCGTTCTGGCCACAAAATTCAGTTGATACTGGCTCACGTTGGGACTATAAGGTTCAAGATTCAGGAACTTGGGAGGCAAACACGACTGTTTTCCACGCCGATTTAGTTTGCGCCAAACTGGATATGAAGAAGAAGGACATGTATCTCCGGCATGCACCCGAAGGATGGGAAGAAGAGCCAGAAAAAAAGTTCTATCAAGCATCTGTTCTCCTAGAGTCCAATGAGGGTTGCCAGTTTAACCTCACTGTCGACGTGGAGTATCACGCCCTTACTACGGATTGGATCTCCTGGAGCGACATCAACAACATCACATCGGAAGATTACCCCATGTCAGATGCTATCGTTCAATCGAATGAACACTGCCACGAGAATGAGATTGTTATGATGAGTACGCCGTGGTGGCCCAGGCAGGACATCACGCCGACCGAAAAATTCCTACAAAACATGACGATGCTTGCATATGCATGTCATACAAGCCATAGCATGGCCACCATCCCAGCTCGTGCCACAGCCTCATCAGGGACATTGTCCGTCGAGTTCGATGAGAATCTTTTCCACCAAATTGGCACGCCGGTTCCCCCGACCGTCCTTGACTTACTCGAACTACGCAAGGCTTATACGGACATCAAATGGAGCGATTTCGTCCCCCACGAGACCAAGACGTCTGACATCGAGATCGACTTATATGATGTTCCCTTTACGGGCCCAGCTGCGATCTTGGGTGAACCATACAACTTCAGTATCCCACGAATGATGGCTGATTCTCAATTGCCTGTGATCGCTGCTCAATTCAGACGTCGCTTCTTCGCAGAAATTGTTGGTGGTTCTCTGCAACGCACGGAAGTTTTAGAAGAACGTTCTACGGCTGGTCATCGACTTGGATCTGTCCGGATAGTGCTAGTCAGCGGGCAAGCCGCCTGCATTATATGTGCTCTGTTACTAATTTGCTTTGTATTCTTTCTAGGCATCCTGTGGGAGACGCGAGCGGCTAAGACAACTCTTAACATTAGCCAAGATCCAAGTACACTGCTGGGCACAAGTATATGGGGCAGCGGTGATGCGATAGTGTTGCGCGGTTTCACAAAACTCGACCTCGCTACAAGAAAGACATTGAAAGAAGAACTTGCTGGAAAAGTCTTCTATTCCAAGCATGGCAAGCTTCGAGAAAGTGAGGCCAACATCCAGGACGATCATGAGAGTACGTATTTACATAACTGTTGGTGTATTTTCTGACACGTGGCAGAAAGAACAAGAGTACAGTCCTATGACATCGCACCTGTATTACCCATGCTACGACTACGAAACCTGGCTTTTCTCGTTCTTTACATCCTTGCTCTTCTTGCTGGAATCGTAGTGCTTTACGTCTACGCGCGGAGGTCAGAACTTCACCAGGCTTTCTTCACCTATCGCGCCAACATCAAGCTTCTCGGTCATTCAAACACAGTATCGCCCTTATCTGTCATTCCAACTTTGCTTGCTATTGTTATCACGCTCTGGTGGGAGTCCGTTGACACCACTTGTAGGACGGTACAACCTTACATTAGCATGCAACATGATGCCAAGCGTCCTTCTCAGGGTATCGCATTATCCTATCTATCATGGTTCTGGCTATTCGCATCGTTGAAAGCTTTGAAGCACCGACATTGGCTGCTCTCGCTTGTTACAGCGACGACGTTTCTGCTCCAAGCTCGTAAGTGCACATCCCAAAACTAAGCTGTGACTACAACTAAAAGTTACGACCAAGTCACGATCGCCATGTCCGCTCTTTTTGACTCGGGTCATGGCGTCTTGACTACTTTGTCGGAGATGCCCCTAGCATTGGAGCTGCGCAGTGTTCCATTCGTGCAAGAAATATCGGTAAACAGAGATCAACCTACCTGGCTGTTCAACTACACCATCGACGAGAAAAGTTTCTCGAGCGACCTTGGCGACTTGGTGTGGGACAATCTGCAGAGCCTGTCAAAAGACTGGATGTACACCGCTATTATACATACTGCGCTAGAGGGCCCGAAACCAGTGTGGAGCCAAGATGATTGGAGTTTTATGCCTGTATTTTCCGATGTGGAAGGCTTCGCCTCGGCTGAAATCAAGAGTTCAGCAGGTAGGGGCAACCGCTCCGTGGAGAGCCTGAGAGTCCAAACATCCGCGATTCGTGCTCGCCTGGAATGCAGTGCTGTTGAGTGGCCCAGAAACACGAGCCTGTGGCTTCTGTCGCACAACGACGGATATGGACGTAACATCACTGGACTAGACAACTATTTCACGATAGCACGAGTCGTTGACGATCGCAATTCCACGACGTGGCTTTCTACCCAAGGCAGCATTCCACCTTGCTGCGCCAATCTAACTGGAAACGCAACGTACAATCCAGCCGCAGTTGCTTATTGGACGGAGAATTGGGAGGAAGTATCTGGCCCCGAAGACAGTCGCGATTATCGTACATCTGGAAACTTTACAGTCAAATGGATCCGAGGCTCTGGAAAGGTTGAACGATTCCTCACGGGTATGCGCCGTAAGCCGGATGTATACATGTTCGTATTTCCAGAGCCGCCCGCTATACAGGCATTGAACTGCATGCCTATCTTTGAGTCGAGCCAAGCAGAAGTTACAGTGGAGCCCAAAACCGGTGTCGTACAACACTACCGCATCCTTGACGTTCCTGTTCGGGAGGATGTCGCTTGGTCTGACACATCCCAATGGCGTGACCCTTACGAAGACGCTCGTTACACCAATTTTAATATCCATCATGACCCCGACTTTGAGGTCAATAGCTCTGAATGGAGGGCTAGCAGTTTCAGGTCTTATGACTACAATATCAACACAACTACTAGGTGAGTTAGACTATAAACATTGGTTTCGTTCCGTCTAATAGATCACTACAGTTACGGGCCCTTGTTCGTGCAATGGCTCTTGAATGCCGCAAATATCGATGGACCTTCCTCTAAGAGTCCACCCCGAACATACGAGAACTCCCCAAGACCCAACCCTCAATATACAGATGGCAGGGCCTTCAATATGCGAGATAACACAACAGGTCTTAATCTCGATTTCATGTCGTACGCCGCTTACGCACAAGTGGGATTTGATCCTATCGCCCTACTAGATCCGGAAGTCTTGGCTAGAACATCTTCAACTGTCTTCTCGACCTTCTTTCAGCACTTTGTAAACAGCAACCTGTCTCGCGAATCCGGCGGCTATGTCTACCAACCTAGGGGCATGGAGCTCAAGATCAACGCCCCAATGGACGACATGCCAGTCCAGTACATGCCTGGTGGTTCCATAGCGCCAAAGTTCGAAGACATTGTCCGCAACACCAATGCAACAACAACAGCGGAATTAAGCACCCAGGTCGAAGTTCTCCAAATGAATCTCGTCGCGTTCTGGATCGCCACAAGCATCCTGATCTGGCTTATCATCACCATCATCATCCTCGGATCGGTACAGAGGAAATATTACGGCGGCATGATGCGCAACATCGAATGCATTGCCGACGTGCTGGTTCTTATCGCTGGAAGCGAACGTTTGCTTGAAGTTATCAGGGAGAAGGGGTTCGATGCTATAGTCAAGGAGGACAAGATGCTGACGCGTATGGGATGGTTCCGAGATGGTGATGGAACCATGCGATGGCGGATTGACTTGGTTGAGGAGAAGCAGGCTCAGATGCAGCCCATTCGTTTGGGCCCTGGGTATGTTCCAGTGACGAATGGGATTGAGGAGTGCGATGTAGATGCTGGGTCTGATCGTAGCGTCTCCCCACCCGGCAGCAACGGGGAAGACCATGTAGATGCTGTTTTGGACGCTGGCGTCGTCGGGTCGAGATGAAGTTGGATGACACCCCAGGCCTAAACCGGGGTAACTCACTTCTTGGTTTCATCTCCATTGCCTTCTTCCCAGTACTCTTCCCCTTGTATCTTTATTGGTAGCGATTGCGAAACGCCAAGCTTTTCAGGGCGGAAATTTGACAGACATTTGCAAGCTACTGCTTGAGTACTGCGGGTGACGGTATTTGATTGATAAATGATTGAAACGATGTGGATATGCCAGCTCTACATTTGTTGATACGCTCGAGTTTTGAACCTGGTGATTTATTCCCTGCCTTGACACGAATGTCCGTTGGTGTTGCTTTTCTTTTGGGAATACCGAAATATCCTCAGAATTACCGATGATAACGCTCAAAAACTCGAGCACGACCTCTACAAGAAGGCAGACTGCGGAGTCGGTATTATTGGGAATAACAATAGTATCGACCCGTCGCAAAAGACAACCCTCCCACGGCTCTGTGCCACATAAATTAACCGCAGCAGTCACATCCCGGGCGGGTGCATTCTGGTGTTTCGGCTGTCTATCCGTAGCCGGTTCCACAATCGGCTATCCGCGCTAAGGGCACCAAGCAACCGTGATTTCCTGTTCTGCGCGTCTTAGCTGCATCAAGGCTGCACGCCAACAGGCTTAACGCGTCCCAACCAATGGCACGCTCAGACGATCGCCCGCAGCACGGGCGCACGTCTCCACCAGCACCCACGGCGCCTGTCCTCTATCACTGTCATGATGGGCCTCGTTGCCGTTTGTGCCCTGCTACTGGCGCCGCTTAGGGAAGGCGGGATGCATTTGCGGCAAGCGGCCAGCATGGAGATTGGAAGGAGCGATAGCTTGGTTCGCTGGTTTGTTTGTCGAGACGCGAGAAGTTCTTCGTCTTGTTTCTCTCAGCTATTTCACTCTCGTTGTCGCTGGTCTTTGCCTTCACGCCCGTTTGCGCTTCCTTTCTGCGCTGTACAGTCGTTCGTTCGTTCCTAGTCGACGCCACTGCCGTTCACTGTGCACTTGTGGCGAGCTAGTGCGTTTGCCTGATATTTGCTTGCAGCTATCGCGACGCATTTTCTCTTGCAACCGCGCCACATCGAAAGCAAACCACTTCGTCAATACACCGCAAGATGGTCCAATTGGTGTCGCTCAGCCTGTTGGCGGGCTTGAGCGCTGTCGCGTCGGCTATTCCTACCATTGAAGTCAAGGGCTCCAAGTTCTTCACCAGCGAGGGCAACCAGTTCTATGTCAAGGGTATGTCCGACGATGAGACTCAATGTGGACGCACACTCACAAGCGCTTACAGGTATCGCGTACCAACTCGTTCCCGACGACCCACTCATCGACGCGACGCAATGTGGTCTGGACTCTGCGCTCATGAAGACCATCGGTGCCAACTCGATCCGTGTCTACCACGTCGACCCTGACTCCGACCACACCGAATGCATGAAGACATTTGCGGACGCTGGAATCTACATCTGGGTCGACCTCGACACCTTCGATACCCAGGTCGAGCAGAATACTCCTCGCTGGGAGACCGACCAACGCGATGCATTCGCTAAGGTCATGGATGAATTCCACCAGTACGACAACACTGCTGGTTTCTTCATTGGCAACGAGGCCATCACGACCGCAAATGGATCCGTCACCTCGCCCTACATCAAGGCCGCCGCCCGTGACATGAAGGCCTACCGCGACGAGAAGGGTTACCGCAGCATACCAATAGGATACTCTGCTGCCGACATCGCCAGTCTCCGCCCTATGCTGCAGAACTACCTCGCTTGCGGCGATAATGCGTCTGAGCGTCTCGACTTCTTCAGTCTCAACGCCTACTCTTGGTGCGGACAGAGCTCGTACCAACAGTCTGGCTACGATCAGCTTGAGAAGAACTCTGAGGATCTGCACATCCCTATCTTCATGTCGGAAACTGGCTGCAACACAGCAAGGCCACGCGACTTCAAGGACCAAGAGGCGCTTTTCGGGGAGATGGCCGACGTCTGGTCCGGGAGTATCATCTACGAATGGATCGAAGAGATGAACGACTACGGTCTCATCAGCTACGGTCCCAAGGTTGACCCTGCTCAAGCACCGGATGGTTTCCCTCGCTCAGGTATGTGCTGCTTCCAACACCCCTCCTAGACACCTCAACTAACAGCACACAGGAAAACCTACCCCAGTGGAACCCGATTTCCCCAACCTCTCCGCTGTCTGGGCTACATTGAACCCCACCGGCGTGAAGGCGGCAGACTACAACCCCACCAACTCGCCTGTTGTCTGCCCCGACTTCACCAGCTCGGTCTGGGAAGTCAACCCCACCTCTCCCCTGCCAACGCTGGGCCAGAAGCACGACTTCAACGGTACCCCTACGTCCGGCAGCTTCAGCGCAACGGCGACTGGAGGCTCTGGCGCAGAGGAGTCCGGCTCTTCAGGAACTGGCTCCGACAGTGCGGAGACATCCGCGCCCCCTTCCACTGGTGCTGCGGCGGATTCTCTGGGCAAAGAGCTCAAGGGAATGGGTGCGCTGCTCGCGGGTGCTATGGCTGTTTTCGCCTGGCTATGAGTGCTTTTCACGTCGCGTTCTTAGAGCATCACCACCGTGTCACGCGCCTCCGACCTTGATGGATTTTGATGAAGACTTCACGGAAGACCATGTTTAATGATTCGAGTATATATTTGGAAGAAAAAATTGTTGGTCCAGCTTTGCATGTAGGATTAGGATAATAGAGTACTAAGAGAAGCTATCTCTGTGTCATACTTACACAGATCCATGATCGTTTACCACCTATCAATTATGTACATGAAAGACTATAGTCGTCTGACTCGTCGGAGAGGAACGCTGTCGCTAGTAATTGGTGGTCTTTCGTCTAAGTAGAAAAAGAGCACTTTCGAGGTGACTGCACAAGTTTCTTCATCGGTTTTGTCACTGCTTGAGCACATACGGCGCTCAGACTTTGTGACAAAGCGTACCAACATAGCAACGTCGTACAATATTCCAGTCATCAACGAGGTGCAAGGACAGGACTGAGTCATAGAAGCTTTATATTCTTCGTCAGTGTAGATGTATCGCTCTAATATCAACCTCTCGATATCCTCACCAGCGCAATAGCCTAAGCACGACACTACTATGGCAGACTGGCATCAGAGCTGGACAAAATGTTGCACTCCAGCTAGCACAGGTGCGAGTCTCCATCACACGGTATAAATTCCGACTAACAAGTTTGAATAGGCTGGCTGGCATGCTGCTGTCCATGGGTTCTGTACGGCAGGATCCGGCACCAAGAAGACCATCAAGGTAACATGGACGAATACAATGGTTGGTGCAACGGGAATGTAAGTCGCGTTCCCTTTCATGGTCGATCCCATGCTGACCAAAAACGCAAAGTGCTGGCTATGTTTCGGTCTGACCTGTTGTGCGGGTGGATGCTGCGGGTGTGCCCTGCTGCCTCTCATCGATCGCTGGAAAATTCGGAAGAAGTATGGACTGAAGACCGAAGGGTGGTGTGGGACGAAGAAGCTATGCGAGCCTATCTTATGCGCTGGGTGCTGCTGCCCCTGCAACCTGGTACAACAAGACCGGGAGATCGAGCATCAACACCCAGTGAAGACGGCGGAAGTGGTATTGCAGCCGGCGCCGGTCGAAGCGATGGTTTACTCAACGTCGGAGTCACCATTGGCGCGCGAGGCTTCCAGAAACGATGTGGATGATCGTCCAGGCAGAGCGATTTGATCGCTCAGCCGTCACGACCAAGCATAAGCGTGCTCATGCATGCGATGGAACAGGAAGACGGGCCATTAAGTAGACATATGGTAGAACCATCATGATAATGTGCTCACTCCTCTTCGCTCTCCTCACTGCTGTCCCCGCCCATCAAGCCCCTTCTCATGAGCTCCTCAAGATCATCCTCGTCGTCATCCGCTGCCGCCGCTTCACCAGCCATGCTAGACTTTCGGTCATGGCCCCCCGTGTCCTGTCGCGCAGGTGGGCCAATGTCCATAGGCTCGATGTCTCTGTTGTAATCGTCCTCATCATCATCCTCACCTTCTGCGTCGTCGCCCCCGAGATCACCAAAGTCGATCTCGTCTTGAGCGTTGCGATTGCGGCGTGGGTTCGGCGAGCCTTCGCCGTCGCTGTTGGCGGCGCTGGCGAGCGATATCGGGCCGTTGGAGGGGGAGCGGAGGTAGCCTGCATTGAGGTTTGAGCCGAGAGATGCCATTGCGCCCTTGTTGTGTCGTGGTGGGCGTGCGTCGGGCACTTCGATCTCGAGGCCACCGTCATCGTCTGACTCGCCCTCTGCGTCGTCGTCGTCGTCGGACTCGTGATGTTGCTGATGTTGATGGCGAGGAGGCGATGGGTGTGCCGGCGAGGAAGCTGCTTCGCCGTCGGATTCGTCAGACGAGTGTATGACTTCGGAGGATTTGATTCTCGACGCTGGCGGTGCTGCGGGCTTGGCTTTGGGCTTTGGTGTTGTGTCGGTTGCGGTGCGCTGGAGGCGGACGGCTGGTGTGGCTTGCGTCTTCTTGGGCTTGACCATGGGGTTCGTTGCCGCTGTCTTGCGCTTCTTGGGCGCTGGTATAGCGGCAGCCTTCCGCGCTGGAGCAGCAGTCGCAGAGGCGCGGGCCCCAAACTGCGGTGTATTGACGGCGCTGCCTGTGCCTGTCCGGTAGTCTGGCGAAGATGCGTACTTGTATTCGGACTCGTCGCCCCGTTTCTCCTTCTCCTTGCTCAAGAAGTGTCGGAAGTCGTAGGGGTTGTCTGCATCAGGGTCTCCACCCTCGTCGTCAGCCGCCGCCTCGCCGAAGAGATCCTCTTCGCCATCTTTGCTCTCTGCGTCACCCTTGAGTTTCTTGGGATATATCTTGGCGTGTTGTGACGAGACGTCCTTGCCGTTCTTGGTCGCGAGGTTGAAGGTGTAGCTGCTGGACAGCGGCTCGAGCGTGGCCTGCTGGCTGGCGGGATCGAATACGAGGACGTATGACTTCTTGGGTTGTGACTTCTGCCCTGTGAATGTGAAGATGTCCTTGTCGCCCGAGCTGTTCGTGTCGTCGATGCGGAGGTTGTATAGGCCGGTCGACGAGGGGGAAGTAAGCGTGGTAGAGCGCGAGTCGGATGTTTGTGGGGGCTTGTGGTTGTCTACTCTCTGAATTAGAAAGCGGACACGGAATGAGATACTGCAGAGAAAACTCACATTTAACACTGCTGAATTCTCCTGGCGCGTCGTCGCTGCCTGTCACGCGGTCGCTGATATGCAGGCTAAAGTGCGCCTTCTTGTGCGGTTCGATGCGACTCTCCAGCATAGGGGACGCCATTCTACGCGTCCACCTCTGAGACTTTTGCCTAAATGCGAGGGGAAAAAGAGGGAAGAGAAAGATGATATTGCGAACGCTACGCTACCAACAAAGTGGGCCAGAATGGAATGACAGTTGTTTGCGGAGTCTCAGCTGCGTTGTTCACGTCAACCTGGAAGTCGCGACGCCGGCCGGTCTGGATTGGGACGCTCCGCTTGCCGTCTCCCGCAGCTAGCCCACCCCACACCTGCACCACTAATTTTAGCCTACTGCTCGACATCTCCACCCACGCCGAGCAATAGCCGTATATCAAGTGAGCTACATCAATGGAAGAAGAGTTGAATCCTCGTGTATCGTGTATCGCTACTATGGCTACAGCTATGACCCCAGCGTGTTGGACGCATGACGACCCCGCTCGGTTGAGCATCTAACAGCCTACATATCATCGGTATATCTGGTCTTGCTACCATCCATGAGACCACCGTTTTCAGCTTGAGCGATCAGAGCCTGCGACGCCTTCCTCTGCTTCCGCTTCTGCCAGAAAAGCCGAGCGGAGAACGCCATGCACAGCGCAAACACCAACACAGTGCCAACGATGTAGTGCATTCGCAATGGCGCTGCCTCACGACCCTTCCACGGCACACCTTCAGGGTTGTCTTCCGTGAATAGCTGCCGTCCTCTGTCTGATGGTGGCTGCTTGTTGATGACGGGGAAGGCCTGCGAGAGGCCTCCTTCCAGCATGCCAGGAAAACCCAAGGCGCAGACCATGGTATCCGCCTCAGGCGTGAACTCGAATTTGATTGGGACTTTAGCCATGCCTGATCCCATCACGTCGAAGCTTGTGGACCATATCCCACCATACCCCGGTTTCTCGTCTAGCGTTACCGTCAGATCTGTCTTGTCATACGCACGAATATCTCGTTCGGTGATTCGAGCTATACTATGGAACGGACTTACAGCAGGACTTCCAGTCAAACTCATCCTGAGCTGTGTTGTCCTTATTCTCCTGCTGACAGGGCTTGCAGTACAGGTTCCGGTGACTGGCAGCGGGAACATTGAAGTCCCAGGGCCAGGTGGGCTCGACAACATCGTTGATGTACACGGGGACGGTACCAAAGCCGGAAGTAGGTGGGACGTGAGCGGAAGCCTCGAGGTACTGCTCAATCTCGAAGCTAGAGCTTTGAGGGTGCTTGCTAGGCATCAGATCCTGGTTGCCTGGCGCGGGAAATTCCCAAAGGATTGGACTTGGGCAGTCGCAGTCGTCCTTCGTGGGAGCCATGTTGTAGTTCTGACTTCCCGTCTGGATGCGGATGAGTATTGAGATGAGAAGGCGTCTTCAGTAACTTATGTGCAAAAGTGAGGAGAGGACCGCGTACACAATCTCGCATTGAAGCTACTCGGGGTTGACGAAACGCCGTCACGAAGCTTTAGCATGGGGTCGCTCGCCTGTCTCGATAAACTTCGCTGTGAGTGGTGCATCTCAGTGTCGGGCGTTCGGGCTATGCTGATTCTAACGCAAAGCAGCGGAGTGGAGTTCGTGTACAGCTTGTGCGTACGTAGCATCGCGCTTCCAACAGGCACATGCGAAGTCGTGGCAGTGAGTCGCGAATCAACAGCGTTGAAACGCTGGTGCCTTGAGTTCCATCGACGTAGTTATCGCAGTCCCATCGGCCCGCAACTGCAAAAAAATCAATGCTGTCCTGACGCGTCACTTTTGAGAGAAGGTAGGCCGTCTAGTAGATGGTCAACAGACGTTATTCCAATACTTGAAAGGGTGAACGAATGAGCGTCATCATAGCTACTGAAGATGCGTCGAGCGTGGAATGTGGATGACGAAACGGATCACAAAGCCAAGACGCTAACCAGGAAAGGCTGGTGCAGGTCGCACCTGCCAGTCTCGACTGATGCGCACTCGAATCTTCATTGAACCAGGTAAGATGCTGCTGCTATGCTTATCGCCTCCTTTTTTTCAATAGATCTGTTATCATTCCGCACAAAAGATCTACTTAGCAAGCATACTGATCGCCTCGTACCCAAAGGGCTGACCTTACTACAACTGCGCCTACTCCAGCCTGACCTAACCCCAAGTCTGAGCATCAAGCTTATCTTTATTCCAACATTGAAGTGTTGGTGAGGCTCGACCCCACGAGAATTCAAGCAGGACTTCCCTTGAAGGACACTGCAACATTTCAGCTGCACGATGCATTGAAGCTGCAAAGCTGCTGCCTGATATTTCGGGCAGTGTCTGTGGCCAGCAGATCGCCAGCACCATAATAATTCTCGGCTGATGTATCGCATGCAAGGCAGCAACGGCATCGTGCATGCTAACCGTTCAACTCAAAAGCCTTGTGTAGCGGCGCCGCTGCAAGGATGCATCGGCAAACATGATCTGCCATTATCGACAAGCGAGCCAAAGCCATTCTCGTCCGATAAATCTAAACAGCCATATTAAATGTATTGCCAACCAACACGTCGTCATGCGCCGCCAACCGAGCACTATATCGGAGTATTGAAATCATCCGAAGGCAGTACAGTGTCACAACATACATGCTTGTTCATCTGCCGTGTAACCTCGATCGGAAGAAAGAGGACCTCTGGATTGGTCTATACATACTGGCATTGGAATATGTCGTCCCGTACACGGCTTCGTGGACTGTTTAGCATGGAGTCAACGCGTGATTGATGCTCGTATGAGGACTTGCGGGTTAGTCGTGGTGCTGTTGGAGGGACTTTTCCGATGGCTGAGGGCGGTATAAAACGGAGAAGTGGAAGCATCAAGTTGCACTGTCGCTCAGTCGTTGAGGCATCTTTTGCTTGGTCTGATATCTCATCGGAGTCGCTCGTTGCCCACCCTCGCTTTGGACACAGCGTACATCATGCGCCTCATCATCCTCAGTCTCCTGGCCCTGATAGCCTCAGTCAGGGCTGCCGGCATCGCTGTCGTATTGAACAACTCACCAGACCCCATCTATGTTTGGTCCGTCGGCGGCACAGTCGGTCCCCGCCACGATATCAAAGCCGGTAGGATACATGCGAGCTGTGATTTCGTCTTCAACTGACAGCCACAGGCGGTATCTACTGGGAGGAGATGCACCATGACGACAAATCCGGAGGCATTGCGATCAAGATGACGAAAGAGGCGGACGGTCTAAACTCCGGTGCTCCTCAGCAGGTGTGGGCATACAACCTGGATGGCGGAACGGTGTGGTACGATCTCAGCACTGTCTTCGGGGCGCCATTCGCGGGTAGCCGATTAGATGTTACTGGAGATAATGGGGGTAGCATTGTGTGGCCGAATGGGATTCATCCAGGAGGCAACCAACTCACCAAGGCTCCGAGCGAGGGAAACATATTCTTTTCCATCAATCCTGCTTGAGCAATGGAGGATGGCTTAGAGATATTGAAGAGTAGAGCACCTCAGATGGATCGGAGCAGACTGCAGTGTGTCGGTATCTAGACCGGGCGGATGCATCCATTATACCGATTTGTGAAAGATCTTGATGACGAGTGCGCCAGAACAATTTGAGATGATTTTTCCTCACTGCTCTTTCTGGTGATGATTGAATCCGTCCGACGGGCACTCTTCGGTGCGTAACGACTAGCAGCTGTACGCCGGAAGATCATTGCTCGAGTCGACATGGAAACTGACAGCGCACGTGTGAATTGGCAGTGGTCGCAAAAATTGTGGGCGAACCGTCAAAATGGGAGACGTGGGGTCGGCCGTGCTTTCCAGGGCTGGTCGCGAAGAGGCAGTCGCAGATTGCCGCCTTCAGAGAGCTCCTTCCTCTGCCCAGCGATCGAATCGCCGCGTCTAGAAAGAGTCACCGACATTGGACTCCATCCAGGTGCGTCTGAAGGATCTAAGGATGGCGACCGACAGCTGTCTGTGCAACGCCACATTCTGTTGTGCTTCCGCTGCGCCCGGGCTCCCCAAACTACAGCTCGCCTCAGGCGTCCGGTCGCGAGTCATTGCGCCGTTTCTCGCACACCATCAGACGCCATTCCACCAGTACAGTAATCATTCATGCCACCAAGCCGAGATGTCGCCGTCTGTACAATTATTCCATGGCCACGCCGCAATCTGCCTTCATCTATCCAGGGCATCATCTCATCTTATGTCGAGTTGGCATCTTGTGTAGCCTCGGTTCTGACATCCCGACCGGGTGTATCCTATCTCCAATCGCTGCCAGTCGCCTGCATGGTGCTACTGTATGATAGCGACTGCGGGCGGTATCGCGCCATGAGCATCGGGTGATGCAAAATTGAGCCGCATCTAGGTGCTGATCCGCCGCTGTCAGCACCAGCAGCTCTCCTGTGATTGCGACAGCCTCCAAGGGGAGCCTGCCCAATCTTCGATCTCGCGAAATGACCAGAAACATTGCGAGATACGACTAAAGAGGCAACACCAAGCCAGACGGAAAACTAAGGCCTGGGAACAGACTGCATTCACATCTTTAGCCGCCCTTGGGGAGGGTTGGCGTGCACAATAGCTGCCACCGCCCACTGCTAAACGCGATGCGCCCCGCTCCAGGAACGGCCCTCCGCAAAACTTATTGGTATGCTAGTTTAGCATCCGTCTCCCTGCGTCTGTAATTCGCTTGCTGCACCATGTCTTATCAACCCTCCGCCTGGAAACACCCTGGTCACGTTGCACATGGCGGCCGCTTTCGGGGCCACGCAGACCTTTCCAGGCAAAAGGCCCTACCTCGCCCTATGCCAACGACGCTCAAGCATGCGCCTTCTATTGCCCTTCTTCTGGTGATTGGCCTCTAAGCGGCGACCCGACGCCATGTATTCGTCGCCATGCCGCTTGCCACAACCAGAGGCGTTCCGAGAGGCGGATCAAATTGTGTACCACAATCAACAGCCGATGTTTCTGGCCCCGCTGACGCCTGACAACAGCATTGTCTTACTCCATACCTACTGAAGCCTTACAGCCACTCTCCCCGTCATCCGATTTTCTTCTTCCTGGAGATGATCACCAGCTCACCACTCGGCGCACGACTCGTGTCTTGTACTAACACGCGGGGCTTGCAGACATAAGAGCTCCACCACAACCCATCAATCGGCACAATGAGTGCGAGGACATTGACAAACGTCGTCAACGACCAAACGGTCGCCTTGAATGCTCTGATCTATGGATACGCTGGGCACAGCCTCGTCACCCCGCAGCACGCTCTCCAGCAGATTTGGTGGACCGAGGAGCGAATCAACGAGAAGGTCAACCATGACTTCGTCACCTCAAGGCTACAACCGAAAGAGAGAGAACGTCTCACACAACCTGTCGGATTCGGCGATCTGAGCGACGACACCTACATCGAATGGATCCTGGAGAAAGCAAGACGACTGTTCCTGATCTTGGTCGAGATTGGCGAAGCGGATAGGATCTTCGCGGTTGTTGACAGATCGTGGGACGACGATGATTTGCCTCTCGAAATGGACGATATAGAGCAGCTTTCGCTTTCGAATCGCCGCGATAACCACGCCGATGCTCGCTTCTACCATACACAGTTCACATTCCTCCTAAGAGAATTGCGGGAAGGCATACATATCGATTATGCGCCCAACGAGGAGATTCCAGTCGAGAACGTAATGTCTCTGCCAGTGGCAGTGAGCTTACAGGCCTGGCAACGTATGCACCTACCGAAGAAGGCAAGGGAAATCTACGTTCGCAGGCGATTTCCACTGGGCGACCCAGAAACACCGGATGCGTTCGAAGAGGACTTCAAGATGGATGTAGAAAGCGCAAGGATGGTCGAGCATGAGCATCTTGCGCCGATCTGGGCCTCGTATACCTCCAAAGGTGTTGGTTACATCGTCACCAACTTTGTAGGGCAGCATACACTTCGCACTTTCATCGACCACCGCAACCCGACTCAGTACCAGAAGCTGTTGAAGCCTGACCGGAGATGGTTGGTACTCAACTGGCTGCACTGTCTGGCAGACGCCATTGCAACGCTGCATCAGAATGGATTCTGCCACTCCGCCATTCGACCGTCAAATATCCTCATTGACGAGCAGAATGCGATAGCATTTAGCGACATCGGTAGCCTTGAGACATTTCAAAAAGACAAGAAGCCCGACGCAATGGACGCCTACGTATATAGTGCGCCAGAGACACACATCAGCACAGGACCTTTCGACCCCAATGACCCTGCGCCTTCACCCACTATCCCAAACGGTCGACATGCTTCGATGATTAGCAAGAGTTCATCCGGGTCATCCGGCAGTAATAGCTCACAACGGCAGAAGCTTACCAAAGCACCTACAACGGACTTCTCCGGTTTCAACTTTGGATTCAAGAAGTCGAAAGCGAAGCCCACACCGAAGAAGCGGTCGCGGGTACACGAGACTGAGAAAGCAGATGTGTTCTCCCTTGGTTGTGTTTTCCTGGAGATCATCACATTTATGCTAAAGAAGAAGCCTCACGATTTCGTAAAGCACCGTACGTCGAAGCAAAGGACCAATACTGGCGGGAAGAACTCTCGAACGGACTCATCATATCATGTCAATCTCGACAAGGTAGAGACTTGGATGAACACACTCGAAAAGGCTTCCTTTGAGCATGACGACGACGCGTTCCGGGCGATCCCTCCCATATTACAGGTCATCCGGAGTATGTTGAGCAAAGCACCTATGCTTCGCCCTGCGGCGCGTGATGTTCGCGACAAGATCTTTGACATTCTCTTCGAAAACACTTCCATACCCGACATCCATTGCGGCGCTCATAAGCACGATATTGGAGTAGCGGCATCGTCGTATTCCGGCTCGGACAGGGCTTCACTAATGACAATGTCAACAATGACCTCAACGAGTTCGAGTACCTCTGACGCGGATACCATACGCTCGAGCACGACGCGTGTAAGCTCGATACTGAACTCGTATTCCGACCGGACGACCTTGTTCGGTATCGAAGAAGATGATAGCGCTTCGATAAAAACGCTAGAACCCATTGCCACACAAGCCCAAATTGGTAGAGCATATGAATCACCGAGGGAAGCTCCAATACCACCAAGCTCTCCCACTTCACCAACATCACCACGGTCCCCAATGTCGCCAATGTTCCCAAGCTCTTCAAGCCCTTCGAGACCGACGTCATCAGCCACGAAGGGGAAGTCTTGGAGCAAGCCATTCATGCTGATGCCATGAGATTCTGCAGGATCGAGACCCATAATGTTAGACTCGAGCAGGCATCGCGTTCAACCTCTTCTCGCATCTTCATCATCTGAGAATACTCAGACATCCGCGAGGTTGCTATAGATTGCGGAGTTGTATGCAGTGCAGTCTTGGGTGGCACGTGGCGGTACCAGCCTTACGGCACGGGGTGACATCGCAAGAGAAATAGGAAGGTGGTGAACGACCTGAGCACTGCTATCATGCGAATGGCGGGCATGCATACGGCTAGAGAATGCCGATGTTACAGGCATGTGGTGAGCAACAGCACATGTGAAGTGCCCCACACCTACGCAGACATAGGCGTGTCCTGTACGATCCTGACAGCTCAGCGAGTGTACTGTTCAAGTTTCCTACAACGTAGCACGAATATACCTAATACCTATCAACGAACATCTGCACACTTTTGGTTCCTGAGTGTATCTCTGAGCCGCATGCGAGATCGTCGCAACCTGACGCTTATCTCATCAACCGCATTTGCTGAGGCGGGGTATCCCCGCATCCTACATATGCACGACTCTGTCAGACTATCGCCAACGATTTCATGTCCATTGCGCAGGCCTAGTATTGACGGTGTCTCTTCCTAACTGCCTCAAAAGTCATCCCAACGTTCTTGCCGTCAGATCTCATAACGTGTTGTTGTCTGCAATGTCTACATGCCACCTTCGGGTCATTGTTCGCTGGTCCAAACTCAGAATCCGGCCCCATTTGATCCGTACGGTGCGGGGAATCTACCGGCCCTGTAGCCAAGACGCTGATCGCAGCTGATCAGACTTGTTCTACTACGTCCATGCATCTGACACTCTGCAGGTAGGTAAGCGTCAGGCATGCATCCACGGCGTTGACGTACAACCACCTCTTCGACGTTCACCGTCAGCCTCGTCGTTTCCAAGGCGCCAGGCTTATGCAGTAACCGAATGCTCTGCAAACGCATACTGAACGCCATGCATCAGATCAGCCGGCCCGGCCACGCGACTACTCTGGCCTGTCCAAACATGCGCCGAGCTACCTCAGTAGTAGCATGATCGTCGACGGTGTGCAGCCACCAGGATCATCCCGCCGCTATTCCCAGAACTAAGAATACCAATATGCAGCTGCAAAGCCGTCACAGTTACCATTGAACCATGCTGTCATGAACCCACCCAAGGCTTAAAAGCCGCCGTCGTCCTCCGCATCTCAACGGTTTCTTACCGCATCTTGGATGCGCACCTGCCAACCGATCTCTTCATCATGCAGCTCATCTTTGGGCTTGTTACGGGGTTGTTGACGTGGTCAGCTGTTGCTGCCACTGTCAATACGGTTCATCCGCGTCAAAGTAATCGAACGGACTACAAGGTTGGATATACTCCACTCAAGACGGAATGGACGGACACAGTGGGGACCAATCCTTGGCCAGAGTATCCACGACCACGCCTCCAGCGAACAGACTGGAAAAACCTTAATGGTGTGTGGGGATACAGGAACACTACAAATGGTTCGGACGCATCACCACCTTTCGGACAAACACTGGAAAACCCGGTCCTAGTTCCCTTCTGCCTTGAGAGTGCTCTCTCGGGTAAGTCAACCCAGACTTCCGACTAGAAAGGTTACTGATGCAGCCTAGGTGTGACAGGAAAGGGTCGCATGTGGAGTTGGTACCAGACATCATTCGCAGTACCGTCATCATGGCCTAGCGGCAACAACGTCATCTTGAACTTTGGTGCTGTTGACTACGAGGCCACAATCTTTGTGAACGGCAAGAATGCTGGTTTCCACAGAGGTGGATACTTTGAGTTCAGTGTAGACGTGACGCAATACCTGAGCGCAAATGGGACGAATGAACTGTAAGTATCGTAAACTGAGGATTAGAGACCAGGCTAATGTAATAACAGGCTGGTATATACCTTCGATCCGACGGATGTGGATATGGTCCAAATACCGATCGGAAAGCAAACGTTGAACCGAGAGGGGATGATCTGGTACACACCATGTAGTGGTATCTGGCAGACTGTGTGGCTTGAGTCAACACCAAAAGAGCATATCTCGAAACTGGACCTAACAGCGGATATGGATGGGACTGGTAAATATGAACCTTGCTCTCTGATGGTCATCGCTGACATATCGAAGTGACTGTAACTGTTCACAGCAGCACTAACCTAACAAATATCCCATACGAGATCACAGTCCATGAACTAGGCTCAACCGATGCCAAAGCGACAGCTAAGGGTACTAGCGGATCCGCGTTTACCTTCAATGTCCCATCGCCAGAACTGTGGACTCCCGATAGTCCTACCCTGTACAATATCACCATAAAAATGGCCAGTGACACCATCCAAAGCTACACCGGATTCAGGACTGTTTCCCGCGGTACCATCAACGGGATACAGCGCCCACTCCTGAACGGAAAGTTCGTTTTCCCCTTCGGTACGCTCGATCAAGGGTACTGGCCAGACGGAATCTACACACCCCCAAGTGTCGAAGCCATGGTTTATGATCTCAAGGTGCTGAAGAATGTTGGCTACAACATGGTACGCAAGCACATTAAAGTTGAACCGGCCTTGTTCTACAGAGCTTGCGATGAGATGGGGATGCTGGTCATCCAAGACATGCCTTCTCTACGACCAGATCTGCCGGACGGCTGTGGTAGTAAGCGATTAGCAGGCCAAGATGCGCAAGATGAGTTTGATCGTCAGTTGGCTTTGATGGTAGAGCAGCTCAAATCATACCCCAGTATCTTTGCTTGGACAATCTACAACGAAGAATGGGGTCAGGATACCTCGCCTCCATGGCCCGAATTCCCATTAACAGAAATGGTAAGAAAGATCGATCCCACTCGCCTAGTCAATTCTGTCAGTGGTTGGACGGACCATACAGCCGGCGACTTCGACGACAACCACCACTACTCCACACCCCAATGCGGCACGCCATTCTGGTCCCGCCAAGGCAACAACTACGACTCCGCCTACGACAGTTCGCGCATCGGGCTCCAGGGCGAATTCGGCGGCATCGGCACACAGCTCCCTGAGGACAACTTCGCGCACGCTTGGTTCAAAGACCTAGAGAAGCAGACCGCATACGAACTTACCAACGGGACCAACTGGTGGAACTACCGCTGTCACGATTTGCTCAACCAGTTGCGCGAGCAGATTGATCTTTTTGCTTGCTCGGGCGGGGTCTGGACGCAGACTACGGATGTGGAGGGAGAGGTTAATGGGATGATGACTTATGATAGGAAGGTCGTGAGGATGAATGAGACTATGTGGAAGGAAGATATACAGGCGCTTTATGAAGCGGCGGAGAAACGGGCGAATAATGCGACGATGGTGATCAGGGATGTTAGTAGAGGGGGGTTGCAGTACGGTATGCCTTGATTCGCGAGCAGAGCACGTGAGAGACGTAGTTTCCCTGTTGCTCAATTCCGTCATTACTATCTGCGCAAAACACGTGTCATTGCAGCAGAGTAATATCTGAATTCTTTCAACTAACTCACGAGTTTCCGCCACTCCCCCTCCAGCATCCCCAACGTAACAACATCCCACCAACCCCCCTCAAACCACACACTCTCCCTCTCCCTCCCCTCAACCACAAATCCCAACCTCTCATACAACCTCAGCGCACCCTCATTCCAGCTAAACCCCCTAACCTTAACCCTATGCAACCCCGCCCGCCTAAACGCATAGTCAAGCGCCCACCTAATAGCCTCAGACCCATACCCCTTCCCCTGATATAACGGTAGGATATCAAGCCCAATCTCCGTATTGCGATGATGTTGTTTATGCGGCGGTGGCATATCTAAATGGATTTCACCTACAGCCGTACCATATTCTTCATCCACGATCTCCCCCTGCTTCCTCCTTGTCGCGAACGCCTTTTCACGTTCCTCGTCATTTAGAGCAGTCGTTTCTGGCAAGTGGGGTAGCCAGATGATGGCGGCTAAAAGGCAGTCGTTTTGGACGCCTTTCATGAATTTCTCGGAGTCGGCAGGGCCGGGCAGTTTGATGTTGTCGAAATTGCTGTTTGCGTAGCCGGTGTGGTCGGCGCTGAAGGCGTGGAAGACATTTATGTCGATGGGGCGGATTGCGCGGTAGTGCAGGCGTTGGCTGGACCAGGGGTTTGGTTGGGGTGGAGGGTTTGGTGGTGTGAGTGACATTGTTGGAGTTATTTGGGGCGTTGCAAGATTCTTGGGATTACAGGGAAGAACGCGATTTTTGAAGTAGGATGCCAGCGGGTATGTATAACTAGGGAATGTCGCAGCCTCACGGTCGGAACATTGTATAGAGTTGGCGGACGCCTAAATTTACGCCCTTCACGTGATTGCGCCCTTCATAGTCGCAAGAGCTGGGGGAGGTAATGCGAGATTAGACTTTGCTGAGATGGGAAGGTGGGAAGGCGATACGGAAAGCATGGGCATGGATTGATCCACCTCGTTTAGCAGTATACTTACAAGGGTGCTTTCAACTCATATGATACATGTGCGTGATTACTCATGACAAGTGGATGCATGTATCTACTACAATTCATCGATGCAAAAGTGGAAGGTGTTAGAGGGAAGGGTGAAGAACAGAATCTATTCGGTTTCTCTCACAACGATATCTCGCCTCTCCAGGTACCTTCGGTCAGCCCAAGAGTCTCGATACAATGCTGCCACCTCGGACCACCTCTCTCTTTCCGTCTGAGGTACTGTAGCAACTTCTGCCTCCTGTGCACCAGCAATTGCAGGTTCCGCTTGTTGTGCTTGTCGCCCTTTCCCCGGGCTTGTAGGAAGTCGGCCAGGGTCTTGATCTTTGCTGTCAAAATGGCGATTTGGACTTCGGACGACCCAGTGTCAGGCCCGACGCGCTTTGCAGTCGCTGCAACGTTTGTTTCTGGGCGCACGGCGCGGACTTCTTCGGCACCTGACCGGCTCAATGATGGCGCCTTGGGTGGGAATATCCTATCGGTGTTGTGGCGCCCGAATGTCTCTACACAGCGTGTGATGTTTACGCGCATGCGGTCTTTGCTCGATCCGTTTTCGAGAGCGGTGATGCGGGCGATGGCCTCAGCGGCTCGAGCATGGTCCTTGTTGCTTTGCTCCTCGATCTCGTCGGCCGACAATTGGATTGCCTGCGTCTTGCCGAATATAGAGTTGGACCATTTAGTTGTGGGGGCCGTTGTCTCCTCTGGAATTATGCCCAGCGGAACAGCCAAGTCTTTGCTCCTGTCCAATTGTTGCCTGACAGTTTCTGGCTCGAAGGCATAGTTGAGGTGTTTCCGGTCTTTCGGTATCTTCTTGCCCTCTTCGTACGTAATTGGCTTTCCAGTATCGAAGGACTCTACGAATGGTGTTGCAACACCGCGGACTGGGTCTCCCAGGCTCGCGACACGGCCTTGTTCGAGCTCAGCGCGGCGCGTGAGATTGGCAGCCTTCTTCCTGTTCCGCTGAGCGACGATATAGGGATCGTTTGCGAGGCGCTTCTTCTGTCGTTCGGCTGACTCGGCGTATAGGTGCGATGTGGAGGCGAAAGTTCGGATGGGGAGGGTGAGTTGATTGGTGGCTGAGAAAGCTGGGGAGATGTCAGTATGACTGGCGGGTCGATGATAACCTCTACATACACGTCGGCGCCCGCAGGCACGACAGGGCAGGTATTCGCGGCGGCATTGCTGGCTGCACTCTCGCTGCCACCACCCTCGAATCTTTTGCGGATCCATGGCCGGCGACTGGTTTTGCCGATGCCGGCGCGTCATTGCGCCAGTCCGGTTGCGGCTAGGCGCTCCCACCACGATGCGAATATCGCGAACACGAAAGTTCGTCGACTCAGTCTCTCGCACGCAACCCGACAACTCCTGTATACCGACCAGCTCGTACAGCGCCAAACCGTCAAAATGGCTCCTTCCAACCTCCCCGCCATCTTCAACCCCACCCAGCAGGACATTGAGATGCTCCTCGCTGCTCAGTGCCACCTCGGTTCCAAGAACCTCCAGGTGCACATGGAGCCTTACCTGTGGAAGACCAGGCCCGACGGTGTCAACGTCCTGAACATTGGCAAGACCTGGGAGAAGATTGTCCTCGCCGCGCGCATCATTGTCGCCATTGACAACCCGGCCGACAGTACGTTCACTCGCGCATTTCGAGATGTACAATCTTGAAAGATGCGAATATTGGCACACGCGGACTCTGGCTGACACTGAGTGAATAGTCTGTGTCATCTCTGCCCGTCCCTACGGTCAGCGTGCCGTCCTGAAGTTCGCTTCCCACACTGGTGCCACTGCCATCGCCGGTCGCTTCACCCCCGGTAACTTCACCAACTACATCACCCGTTCTTTCCGTGAGCCCCGCCTGGTCATCGTCACCGACCCCCGCACCGACGCGCAGGCCATCAAGGAGGCTTCCTACGTCAACATCCCCGTCATTGTAAGCATCCAGTTCAGAACATGGGGAAGGGTCGGGAGACTAACATAGAACAGGCCCTCTGTGACGGAGACTCCCCCACCGAGTACGTCGATGTCGCCATCCCCACCAACAACAAGGGACGCCACGCCATCGGTCTGATCTGGTGGATGCTTGCCCGTGAGGTCCTCCGCCTCCGCGGTACCCTCGCCAACCGCGAGACTGAGTGGGACGTCATGACTGACTTGTACTTCTACCGCGACCCCGAGGCTGAGGAGAACAAGGACAGCGCTGGTGTCGAGGAGGCCAAGGTCCCCGGTGCCGATGAGGTCGGTGCTGGCCCCGTCGCTGACGGCTTCACCAGCGAGTGGGAGGTCTCCGGCGCATCTGCCGGTGCTTTCACTGCTCAGGCCGCCGCTGCCCCTGGCACCAGCTGGGACGCTGACACTGCCGACTGGGCTGCGTCTGGCGATGCTCAGACTGGCAACGAGGGCTGGGGTGCCGAGACCGCTGCCCCTGCTACCACTACCCAGTGGTAGATGTCTTGACCCGTTTCGTCGATGCTTCTCTTACATACCCTGTCTTTGACAACCTGGCATGTGCCGGCGGCGTAGGAGTAAAAAGGAAAAGGAAATATGAGACCATTTGACAACGACTCAAAGATATAACCATGCTATGTCTGGAAGGGGACGTGTTGAGGGATATGATCAATGCTACGCGCTTATGAGGGAAAGATATCCATACAATGTATGGGGGAAAGCCCTGTGCTGGCGATCGGGTTGTACTTAATTGGCGCCCAGTCCTTCAATGCGAACCTTGCTCCATGACCATTCTGACTACAACTTCCCAACCTTGCCATGCTTTGACGTGAGAGTGAAAGCAATGCCGGACCCACCTTTCTCTACATTGCGCCCTCAGGACATCGATGCTCACGCGGAGTGCATGTGTAGGAGATGAGTCGACGACCGTACGACTGAATGTCGAGCCGCCATGTCTGTGAACATGAGCAGCACCATCGCGAAAACCAACAAGTACGGCATGCGCGGTCTGTACGCAAAGAGGAGTATAGGAGGAGACAAGCTTCAGGCTTCTAGAATGAGCATTACCCACGCTCCCACGCTGATGATCCCTGCGCTAGCGTTGCCGTAGCCCGAGGCTTGTACGCGTCGCCCGGCATCGTCGGCCATCTCCCGCCTCCTTGTGCGAACATCACTTCTTTGAGCTGTGTCGTGACTTCCTCTTCCTTTTTGTCTTCGGTTAACGTCACCATGCGTCCTTTTGCTCTTCTCGGTCTCTCGGCGCTGGCTACCGCAGCTATCACTCGTCCGACAATATCGGACCACAGCAAAGTCATTGAAGAGGAGGCTGGCCGAGAATACACGGTGAAGCTGGAATGCGTGGGATGCCCGCTGCGTGCCTGGACGAGCCCTCATAAGGCAGAATGGCTGCATCCGGCACCAAAGAACTCTCTAGTAAGTGCACTCTCCAGCCCTGAGAATGAATACGACTGACCACGATCAGTTGCTCAAGTTTGTCCTGACTGAGTTCAACGATGCGTTACTTCTCAACGATCAGCGCATATTTCCTCTCGATCCCATGCCTCTCAACATAAACGCGAAGCAAGTTACCACCGAGGTAGAGCAGGAAGAGACGGATGCGGATTCCGAAGACGCCTCAAATCCGAACAAGCATAGCAGGATAATGTTTCCCCTACAATACGAGCATACCATCTTCCGCGCCGAGGAGCCTGAACTTTGGTGGCTTCAGTTCAATGTGACGGGCTTGCCCTGGGGAGAGACCGCTGAGCCAATCAAATTGGGTCAGAGGATTGTTCAGATCTTGGTGCGCAAGGAACACGATGAGAATTTGGAAGGTGGATATATACTCTCCATCGAAGAAGTACTAGTCGTCTCCGCAAAGGGCAAGATGCCACCGCCGAGGATGAAGTGTGGCAAGCTGGCCATGATGCAAACAACATTTGACCCACGTGAATGGGACGAGTACGGTAGATTTGGCACGTTGTCGAGGGCCTGGAACGCTTTTGTTGGCAGAATACAGGTTGGAAAGGATGCCCTACTTCTCCCGCTCCTTGCACTGCTTGCGGCTAGCCTCATCATGGCACGTCGCCTGTTTCTGCAGAGACAGCAGGAAAAGCCTGGCACAGACTCTGAGGCCGAGACTGCTCTGTTGGGCCGAGATGCGCCTCCGCCGTACGCAGACATACCTGTGATCAAGATTGAAGAGTATGATTAGTTCAAACAATTCTGGAGGCTGGAGCGCAATCAAAGCAAGCGGGTCGGAGTCTTGCCCGTATCTCCGCGTTGCATTCGCCCTTTGTGCGCAAGCGGCATCTTGGCTCTATGTACCACCTCAATCTCGGGTTTCCGCTATCTTGCTTGTCTCTGCGCTCTTTTCATGCTTTTTGTTACACCGACATTCTTGCTCCTGCACCCCTCGGGCGCGCCCGGGTGAGAAGCGAGATCGTTTCACAAGCTTGGGAGGTTTAGCCGACACATTCACCTGTTCAACCTCGACCAGGCGCCGCCGACTTGATTAGTGCTTTACTATACGCCTCTCTTCTATCGTCAAGAATGTCTGTCATCATCGAGCAATACAACAAGGAATGGCCGCAGCAATTCGAAACTATCAAGTCGGAGTTGGAACATCACCTACAGGACATCGACTACCTCTCGATCGAGCACGTGGGTAGTACATCAGTGCCGGGACTTGTCGCCAAACCTATCATCGATGTTGACATCATAGTCACTCGCGAAAATGTTCAGCCTGCTATCGACGCTCTCATCGAGAAAGGGAAATTCGATTACCTAGGAGAGCTGGGGATTGTCGACCGTCATGCCTTTAAAGACCCTAACCAATCCAATCGCCACAACGTTTACCTGTGTGTTGACGGTGTTGCACAAACGCGCAACCACCTCAGCTTGCGAGATACGCTACGCTCTGACATCGAGTTGAGGGATGAGTACGCGCGAGTGAAGCTTGAACTCGCGGCAAAAGCCAACAACATCGTCGACTATATGGTCGCCAAGGGAAACGTCATTCAGAAGATTCTCAAAGCCTCAGGTGCCTTCACAAAAGAAGAACTCGCAGCCATCGCCCGCGCAAACGTGAAGGGCGAGCGTTTTGGTGCTATCAAAACACCCCGTCTGCTCCTCCGCGAGTTCGTGATGAAGGACGAGGAAGGCTACTTTCTTCTCGAAGGAAACGAGCAAAACGCACGTTACCAGGAGTGGCCCCCACGAACACGCCAACAAGCTCGTGAACTCGTCTTGGAAAACATCCGCAACCACAACGACGTGCCGCGAACGAAGTATGAACTCGCTGTCGAGACGCTCGACGAAAGATTCATCGGCCGCGTCGGCGCCAAAACATCTCAAGCCAACTCCGACTCCCTTCCAGGAGAATCTACTATCAAACCCGTCACCCACGCTAAACTTTGGTTCTCCTTCTTGGCGTCAATGCAAGGCCAGGGCTACGCTACAGAAGCCATGACAGCTTTCATCGATGCTCTGAAAGAAAGACTGCAGAACCAAGGGAAGTTGGAAATGGAGATTGAGTGCGATCCTAGGAACGAGGGGAGTTGGAAGTTGGCGGAGAGGCTGGGGTTTGAAAGACATAGCTTGACAAAGGAGAAGACGCAGATCAAGGGTGAATGGGTGGATAGTCTGGTTTTGAGGAAGATTGTTGGGGATGTGTAAGTCATTTCATTGCTGATGTGTATGTGAAGGTAGTGCTAACTTGTGATAGGGCGTTTGCGTCCAAGCATGTGAGGAGGGGAAGTAAGGTTAGCAGCAGTATGCGGTTGAGTGCGACGGAACTGTTTGAGAGTTGTCATTGACGACCTCCCGAACATGAGTTGCGGGACGGCGACGGCATGACTTCTTGGCCTCAGTCTTCTTCTAGGTACGCTTCACGCCGATACTTGGTACGGTATGAGAAAGCAGAAAGTTTGTTTATGCCCCTCACTCCAGCTACCGTTCCATTGTTGCTTGTTGCTTAAACACCCCAGATGTGACTCTAACCCACTAACACAAATCATGCACATGAACAACACTTCCAAACGAGCGACTGAATCGATACACCAAAAGAGTGTGGAGTCCCAAGACCAATAGCGAAACAATATGTACACCAAAACAACTCCCTCCTCGAGACCAAACCAGCAGTATTTCGTCTACAATTTCTGCGACCATGCTACCCCATCACCAAACCCTACACCCTCCTCTTTCGTCCCTGTCCCTACTTCTCGTACCCATCTAAATAGGCGTAACAGCACTAATATCAATCAAAGTAATCGGCTCAAGATCATTCGGCGTCGGCGCCGCATCTCCCACTCCACCATCCGTAGCCGTGGGAAGTGTGATCAACGTAACGGGCGCCAGACCATCGCTCGACCCCGTAGTCGCAGACACCTCAGTAGGCAGCGTGATCAGAGTGATCGGCGCAAAATCATCGCTGGTTGTCGCCGGCGCGCTCACGTCCGTAGTGGTGACGTTGGGGAAGGTTTGGTTGGCGGAGGAAAAGGCGGAGGGGAAGGCGGTCACGGTGACAGTAAGGGTTGTTGTTACGGTGATTGTGTGAGTACCGGACCAGGATTTTGTTCCCTGCAGGGGTAGAGGTACGAAGTCAGTATTTATCTCACATGCACTTCGTACACTCATAGCTTACCCAGTGTGCGTTGCGGGGGTGGAGGTCGGGAGTGAGGCGCTTAAGGGGGGCGACGAGGGCGAGGGAGGTGGGAAGGAGGGGGAGCAGGAAGAGGGATTTCATGATGATGGGTGATGGTAGAGGAAGAGACGATGGAGTGAAGGTGGAAGTTGGTGGTTGATGAGATGATGGGTAACATAGGGAGGATGGGATATATAGTCCTTGGGCTTTGTTGGAGTACGTCAACTTGAGGCTGGATGCACAGAGGGCAGGATTACGACGCGTAAACCCGCAGGTTTCTCCTGAAGGAACCAAGCCACGGAGTACACTGAGTATGCGCCTCTAAGACGCCTTCCGCTGCTCCCAGCAGGTCGCAGTACGCGTATCCAATACAACCCGTTATATGTCTGTAACGACACGTGTATTCACACACCAAAACGTCAGAATGGAGCCTCTCGTTAAACTCCTAGTATCATTTGTGGTCTGGTAATCTCATCAAGTCAGCTCGAACCGATGCAGTCGCCAAGGCTGTGTATGCTGAACGGGCGTCGGACTTCACGTAGCCTGACACCTACCAGGACACCTTTGACCTCAGTAACCGCGCATACCATTGGTCTTACGGCGGACTTTTCGCGAAGTCCGTACCCGGCAGATGTGAGCGTTCGGTGATGCGCAGAGCGCTGACGTAGGGGCGTGAAGACATCAAGGTAGGCAGATTGCTATCAGTGCGATGGGCTTCAACGCAGGTGCATGTAGCTTGCAAGTAACTTTTGCAACAGTCACCTAATGCCTCTTCAGGTATTGAACAACTCCAATGCGCTTTCGATTGAAAGACGACAAGCATATGTGGCAACCAGATGATGCCGCAATGCTATTTGGCGAATGGTCAAACCCGCGTGTAAAGCTAGGAATCTCTTTCACTATACATTCCAGTGAGTTCCTCGTGAGTAAAGGATCAGTGGTACGCTTTGTCGTGATATGCGACAAGCTGTCGATGTTCAGGGCAAGGTGTGGAGGCTGGCACGTGGCTGGTCCCGGCAGCTCTTCCCCACTTTGCACATGATGTCATCAAGCTGTCCAACCCACACTTTGTCGCCTCAGACTCTTCTTCCATGTTTGGACAGCCGCGAATATGCACAGTAACACTCCAGCTGTCATCCTCTATGCGATTCGGTAAGGAAGCTATGTCAGCACGCCAACACCAGTGGTCAGATGCCGCATCCTTCCTTATCTTCCATCGAGCCTCACCTACCTTCTACCGCGTTTTTCCATGTGCAACCGCAATGGCGAATTAATCATGCAGGACTATCAATCTTCGTTGACTTGCGAAAGTGGCCGCAAACTAATAATGATAGCACGGCCTGATGGAAGTGTCTGACACCGGCAACATATGGGTTTGTAACATTAGTCTGTTTACCCATATCTGAAGCAGTGTTCTGGCCTCCAGAGTTCCTTGTTCAGACTTAGAAGGCCGCGACTGATCGCACCGCCAACCCAATCAGTGAAGCCGGGTTTGTCCGCGCGATCGATCGAACAGCGCATGTACGCGTTACAAGACAGCAATTATCGACGGCACAAGATGTCGTGAAGCAAGATATCTTCACAACTGTCTGATATCGGTTTGTCAAAGCCCTACTCGTGGAAAGAGTTGGGCACACCTGTAGGGCGTACATTCACAAGGCTCTCGCCAGTACCATGGAATATACGCCGACATCATCACTCTTGTTAATTGGGGTCATCTGCATGCTCATCTGCTTCAATGGTATTGTCATATTGGTACGTTTGCGCAGTACTTCGTTCATATAAGAACAGCTCCGGCAGGCTATCTTTCTTTCCAGCATAAGTTCCACTATTTACAAGAGAATCATTGATTATATCTGTTACTAACAAATAGTTACCATGTCTACATCTTCGACCCCAGAGCTCGACCATGTCGATAACATAGCACATGGACTTGTCCGACCAGCTAAGTCCGATGGACCTGATTCAGAACGTTCTGTGAACGCGATCCCGGTCATGGACCCCTCACACCCGGATTACCCTCCGCTTCGTCACACTCCGGATTATTCTCCACAGCCTCATGTAAGCCTGGCAAGTGCAGACGCAGATCAATCTGTGCTTCGGCAAGCGCATTCGCCTGACACGGCGCCTGCTGGTCAGCTACATGGCGATACTGCACCGCAGACGGCGGACTACAAGATAATCAAATTGAATCCCCCTAAGGAAGCCGGAAACGTCGAGGAAGACCTAAAGCCCGACAACTCTGATGACGCGGATGAAGAAGCCGACTGGGATAAGAGTATCCCAGCTGGTATCCCACGGCTGGCTGAATACATGGCTCGCGTGCCTGAGCGGGCTATTTTCCGTACCTTCCGAACGCTCGGCGTGCAGAATCTCCTCTTCATGCAAGCAGAGATCGACTATCTGGAGTGGAAGCTTCATAATGTGATGACCAATTTCAGAGAGGGAAAAGGCGGCATCACCAAAGAATATGCCACAGATTGGGCTTGGAATACAATGGAGGATTCCGCCAAACCACAGCCCAAGCAGTACCATTTCATCATGCAGATTCGTGAGAAGCTTGAGAAATACGGTAAACTTATCATTCAATCTGTGTGACTATGGCGCTAACCCACGTATAGAAGAAGCACTTCTACGACAACGTATGCTCGCCAAGATCGCAGCGCCCGATCATTTTGATCTCGACCAGATTAAATCCTACAACGTGTCTCGCGCTACACGCGATAACTGGATTTTTCACCACAAACCTCTTTATGGCCTTCCTGAAGACTGTGTCAAATATGATCGGTTCCATGGACATGTAGCTACGGACCTGATCTCACTCAAGTCCCGCGAATTCAGCGACTACTTTACTTTGTGGGTCTGCGAGCGGTCACTTACCATAATCAGAATTTTTGGGAGATTCTTGGAAAAGTCTAAGTTCGGTGGCAGTCCAGTAATTTACGACAGCACTCTCAGAGAGTGCACCCATGTCTTCACGGCAGTGCTTGCGAGTCTAGTGCCTGTCGCTGTTGCATACATCTCTCAGCAGGAAAGAGATATGTCCCAAATTGTGGTCATGGCGTCGACAAACCTTCTGTTATCGGGCTGTATGGTCTACTTTGCGGACGCGGGAAAAGTGTATCTCTTCCTCGCTGGTATATTGTAAGTATTCTGCGAAAGACTTAGATAACGTGAACTGACTGGCGCACAGGTTCTCCATATTCCAGTTGCTGTTGCTTTCGAAACAGTAGTCGAAGGTGGAGGAGCTGCTGTCTTGTGTTCATTCCTGAATGAAAGTCACCTGGGCTGATACCTGGGTAGCGCTACATGGTTATCTCTACATTGTCACTGCAAGGCGCGCTAGGAACTGCAAGTCTTTCCTTCGTAATCAGCGAACTCCATAGCTCAATGTCATGTATGTTTTCTGCGATCTTCTTGGGTCAGATCCAACAAGCATAAGCTACGTCATTACCCTTCCATACACGTCTCTACTGGTCCGTGGGGATTCCATGCGGTTCACTTCCGGGTGCGCAAGTTTGCGTCGGATCCACTTCTATACCCTCTCATTCTATGCAAGGCTGACTACAACCTCTCACACCACCGCGATGTCCACTCTACACTCCACCGCTTAGAACTACGCGACCAACTCCGCTACGATCAATCAACATGGAAACAGCGCCATTAGCCTGTGCCCAATTCATACGCCGCTGCTTGAAGCCGTGTAGTGAGCGCGACCCACCACAAGAAGCCCACTGTCCGATATGTACAGAGGAATACGATCGCAGTACTCACAAAGCAATGCGCGTCGTTGTCCAGCCACCCACCCAGTGCAACCACGAATTCTGTCACGCCTGCCTCGAAAAGATCTTCGCCCGTCGCAAGACCCAAGACAACACCAATCTCTGTCCGCTATGTCGCGCCGTATGGTTCAAAGCCGAATATGAAAGCCTTTCGGCGCGCAGTCGGCGTTTGACAGAAGAGGCTATAGAGGTTCTTAGAGGCGGTGACTCCGCACCTTCCCTCTTTGTACCCTTGGACCCTGTGGGCGACACAACGTCAGATTCTACAAGGAGAGATACAGATCCACTACTACTGCCTGCACGTACACCCCGACTTTACGCACGAACCAGTCAGCCCCGTCCGGCTACGACTCAGTCACCTACTACATCCGGCGACACTTCATATCGCGATACCTGGCGCACCGAGCCCCGTCCGCCTACGACTCCGTCATCTGCTGCATCGAGAGACACTCGCTACAGCGGAGACTGGCGCACCGAGCCCGTCTTCACACATCGTGAGTTTCACGCTGCACTCGCCGCAGGACAAGCGACAGCCGGACAACCAGCGCTTCAGCCTACATCTTCAGGGCCTCACACATCCTCTCACCCCCCTCATCCAACCCCCCAACCCTTCCAATTCGGCCAGCAACGCACCCCATCCTCAGCACCTCCACATCGAGCACAATTCAACTATCCCCCGGACGATTCAAACTCCACAAACTCCACACGCCAATCTGAACAGAACAGAGCAGCGCCACCCCATGCTTTCCAGTCACTCGAGTTCCAACGACGTTCAGCCGATCTGGATGCTCGCGAAGCCCGTCTGAGGGAACGTGAAGGGGAGTTGAGAAGGATGCGTCAGGCGTTGGAGCGGCGGGAGCAGGATTTTAATGCTTTTTGTGAAAGAGGTAGACAGCTTTTTCGTGGAAGGGATGAGGGGGTTTGAGAGTGAGGGGTACTGGTGGATGTGGGGGAAGGAAGTTGGACGGTGTGCGTTTATATGCTCATGAGGTTGGATTTGCTTGATTCATGAAGGTTTGGTGCGGTTGGGTTTTGTTGGTAATGTGGGATATCACTGTTCAAGGGAAGCGCAAAATACGGATAAGGTCCTCTTGTGTCATGAGAATTTTGAGGATTGGCTGGATGAGTAGAGTGTTAGGATGTTTAGCGTTAATCACAGTTGTGATTACAATGGATTTGCTGCTTTAGACGACTGGTATTTGCTAAAAAGTACAGCAAGAAGCGCTTTCACAATGGAATCCTTTGACAAATAGATGCTTACACCTTGATATCATGAGAAGATAGCAACTTTTTATCTTAGTCCATGAATTTCTCCATTCGCATGATGTGCGATGTCGACCCCATATACTGGGAGAAGACATATTTCACAATCGCGATTAGCTCGCGGTTCCCATCAATTTCTGCATAGCCTTTTGTCCTTCTACATCCTCCGGAAATTAGCGGTGAACTGCATCATCTCAACCTGCAGTACGTTCCTCTCCCTTTCAGCGCGCAGAATTTCCCTTTGCTGCTCCTCCTGCTGGCGTTCGAAATTGATACACAGAAGCTCATTGAGATAACGGCTTTCATTCCAGAGGCGAGTCAGTGTTTGCCTGAGGGCGCGCTCTTCATTCTGGATAGTCGGGTCCGGGCGTACGACTTGAAGAGCTTGGCTTAACTGCCCCCCCGCCGCAACCGGGGGCATAACGATTGTTTCGATGTTTTGCAAAATATTGCTGACTTCGGTTAAGTTTGCCCAGTGCCTATCGCGTTGTTCACGCTGTAGCGGACTGAGGACTTGTTCAGCTTCTTCCTCTTCCTCTTCCCATTCCCATTCCCATTCCTCTTCATCTTCCTCTTCTTCTTCTTCCTCTTCTTTTTCTTGTTCATCTTCATGTTCATCTTTATTTTCTTCTTCGAGTTCTTCTTCGAGTTCTTCTTCGAGTTCTTCTCCAAATGCTGCTTCAAGTCTTGCTTCAAGTTCTGCTTCAAGTTCTTCTTCTTCTTCATCGTAGAAGACTTCATACACATGTTCTTCTTCGTCTTCGGCGCCTGGCTGCGATGGGGGTAGTCCACCAAGCGCGCCACGTATGCATTGCCGACAAATAGGACAGTAATGGGCCTTTTGCATACCGCTATTGACCCAACATTGTAAGCAGTCTCGGCCGAAAACGTGACTGCAATGTGTGCCTAGAAGCTTGATAGCTACATGCTGATCCTCGTCATAGTCCCCCTGGCAGATAGGGCATTCTGAATCGTGAAGTGTTTCGGAGGCGGATAACACTATGTATCGCTCGATCGTAGCCGGGGGAGGCGCGTTGATCTCAGTCCATATCGATCTTAACTGTGTCATGGCATCAACTATGTGTTCGAACATCCACATCTCGCAACTGTGTGAGCCATCGTGAGACGGCTGGGATGTGTGATCGTCGTTCTGCTGATGAGACATCTCGGTACCCATGATGGATTCTGTGCGAGTTATGAACAAGTGCTTGAAGGTTGTTGTCGAAGTATGTTGGTTGTGGAGAAGAGGTACTGCAGTGCTTGGTACAATTCTTATAATACTTCACCGTGCATGAAGCACCCACAGGCTCAAAGTCGACAACACTGTCCAAAACTCGAACCCATTGTGAACCTACCGACTCAGGAGTGAAAGCCTGTTAGGCTTCTCTTTCTCTCGTCCGGCTGGTATTGACACTGTTGAGACGGCAGGAGCGATGAGACGTGGACATCTATTGACGAAGGCGGCCATGAACGAGGAAAGAAACGGTTCTCTCTATTGAATGACTCACAAACGTTTTTGTTGCATTGCATCGAAAGTTCTTGAGAGTTGGCACTCAACAACAATGAGTCGAGCGAGCTGATGGTCAGTGGCTCGATGGAGTCGCGCAGCTTCGCAATGATTCTGTCATCATCGCGCGCGTAAAAGCATCTGCAACATCGAAAGCAGAGCGATACATTGTTGTTGTCGATGGCGACTCGATCAGGAACTCTTTGCACGGCGGATATGTTATGGCAGTGTAGATGGCGCTCGCGACTGACCTCGGGACACCTGCTAGCTTTTCAAGCTATCACAGAATTGGGTTAGCGCAGTCGCTTCAGGCGCATCCCTGCGGACAAAATGTCGATCACGTTCAACTTTTGGCATCTGTCGAGGTGAAGAGCAGCGAAATACATCGACATTGAAGCCGCAATTGGGATTTATCACGACTCCAACTTAGACATCCTCGCTCATTCGGTTCCGAAGATGGCCGACTCGGCAAACAACTCAAACGGTGCATCTACCACACAGGCAGAGTCGTCCACCTCATCGTCACAAACACCCAACACACAGCCAGAGTCTGCATCCTCATCATCATCCGCACCGCCTCAGGCGTGCGCGCAATGCGGGAAGTCTCCGGATACGCTCAAGCAGTGCATCAAGTGCCACAGTGTAACGTACTGCAACAAAGACTGCCAGAAGACGCACTACAAGGCGCACAAGAAAGCATGTCCTATGCTTGCGCAGGAGTACGTGAAGCTGCATGAGCCGAAGATGGCATCGAAATCCAGTTCAAGTGCGCCAGGAGCAAGGGACAAGGGACTGCAGAAGTGGCAGGTACGTTGTTCATGTCTCACTCTGTTGTTAAGTTGGTGCTAATGTCGATAGTTTGATACTTGAGTGTAAGAGTACGTAAAGGCGATGGTGGCGCGGCGGTTGACCGAGGAAGTGTCTTGATGGAATAAAGCTAGACGAGCGTGGAGCTAAGGAGAAGGTACTTGGAGACAAGCCAAAGCAACAGGACCCTAGAGCTCAAGGTGGGCTGTCGTAATGCGCAGGCACAAAAGCTTGGTATGGTGTTTACGTTTCTACGGCTGGTTCTTGGCCGCAGAGAATGAGCAAGGCATATCGTCGGACGGACTTTGTAAGCAGAGTCTGACATCTGACAATCCATGCACGAGTGGATCGGTCGCAGAATTGATAGCGAAGTTTTACGTTTGTAAACTATGGAATAAACCCTGAGCTCGGTAGTGGCGAGATGAAAATGCGCCCAACGGCAAGTCCCGTGACAAGCAGCATGGCGCTGATCATTAACCTAAGCTGCATCCAGCTAAAAAGAAGTTTTCACGGTTTTCGATTGCTGACAATCAAGAATCCGCTGGCCAAAAGAGACATCTCGATGGGGAGCCTAGACTCGCATGGCCCTTCGCCTTGTAGGGCAAAGCGTGTCGCGGCAGCTGAGTGTGGCTGCACTGTGTGACTGCGGGTAGATAGCTTGGAGGCTTGCTGGACCCATGCCAAAGACGCGCTGTAAGCTCGCACCAAAACGTTGGCGAGGGTAGGTGACTGTGGAGCGACTTGAAAACTTGTGCGTTTTGGCCATGAGCTGTGCAGAGACTGGCTGCGTTCTGGTAGGCGATTGGCAGGGTGCGGCGCCGTACTGCGTACTCGTGTACGCTGGCTCCCCACGGGAGCCCTATGGGTGTGCGTTCAATTCGTATCAAACAGCTTCAGGACTAGCCCGGCTTGTCGTGCAGCAGGGCATCGACCCACCGAACAGTCGGCGCTACAAACAACCAAACAACGGCAGCGTGAGGCGCGATGGATGGGCATGCTGGTGATGGAGCTAGGCTGCCATGTGTGCAGGGAGCAGCGGGTGCGGTCAGGCCATTTCGCTGGTGTGAATTGCTGTGGCCGCGAGGTCTAGATTTCAGCTGCTGAGACCCTGGTCCTCCAAAACACGCTAGCATCAACCGCAGCGAACATCGGGTATTCACTCCGCAAACCCAACCTAGCCCACCTGGCCCTCGCACCGCGTTGGCCTGGTCGCTCTGCTGTTACATGACTGTCTTGGACGCAGCGACCGTCTTCCCCAGGCGACCATCCACTCGTTTACCGCCAGCCCCTTCCACTTGTCAATACTTCCCACGCGGCCGTTACTGCCGCCGCGGCGCTACCGCGTTTGTACCTGGACGCCAGATCTTTCAGCCACGTCTCCGTGCGTCTGTTCATCCCACTTACCCAGCATAGCGTGATTGTGCGCGTTACCGGCAAACATCTCAGACCCCGTTGGTCATGATGACGGGCTTCCAGTCCTCGTCACATCTTCTACAGCCATCTGACGCTGATAATGCCCCTCCTCGCTTTCACCAAGACTCCCACCAAGCGCTCCAGCCCAACTCCATCCCACCCACTCCGGATGAGGGCATAGATGCGGGTCCCTGCCCCGAAATAGCGGTTCCCGACGATATCTCTTCGTTTCTCGACGCTTCTCTGCCGCAGCCTTTCCCGCTGGCTTCCGCCTTACCCCAGCCTCTTAGGACTCCCACCATCGAGGACCGGCCGCAGCTTGATCTGACCCTCAACCTTCCTCAAAGCAACATCTCGCTTCCCACGTCCACGGTCCTCAGGAGTACGCACAACCTGCGTCTACCCTCGTTTGATGTACTAGGCATTGCTGCGCCCCACCCTGATCGTATCCCACAGCAAACACACCACTCCTTCTCTCCACTAGGCGCTGGACCTCTGTCGAAGCCAGAAGACCCTCTCCATGCGCTCAGCCCACCACTCGACTTCTTCAGCCACGCCAACGGGGCCAGTCATACCCCCGTTACCAGTCCCAAGGAAGCTAGAGCCCGCGTCGGACATCTTGTGTCCACTCACACGCCTCCCTCGGATACGGAGCCGGGGACGATCAGTTGGGGATCCTTTGTGAACCCACGCACGGTTGGGCTGGGTTCGCCTCCAAATTCTGAGCCAGGGGTGTCACCAAATCTGAACATCACTGCCAGCGCTACAGCTCCCAGTCAAGCGCCCATAATCGTACCGACCCACGAAGAGTTCAACGACGAGTTCAGCGACGCGCTGAGAATGGCAGCGTGGATAGAAGAGGCAAAAAGCACCATCAGTGAGTACTTCTTGCACCTGAATGACGCATAGTTCCGTTCGCTAATTAGCTTAGTAAACGAATCTGGATGTCTGGAGTTGGACTCAGTCAAGATTCTGTCCCACGCCTTGCCTTGTCCGTCAACATCAGGCCACATCTTCGGCCAAGTCATCGCTTCTATTCATGATAGATCGTCAACGCAAACCTCGTGGATCAATGTGTTCCACGCCCTGCCTGGTCGTTACACGCTCATGGATCTGCCAAAGTCTCCTCCGTCGACGCCTGGTCCTGCTGTCGGAGGAGATTCTTACTTTACCAGCAAAGTCTTTGACAGCGCGGTCGCTATTCCAGACTATCAACTCGATTCGAAACTCCTGCCCCCATCGCCTCGACCCGTCGTGCCACCCGGGAGCATCAATGTTTCGATTGTAGAGCGATACATTCCGCCTACTAACACTAATGAGTTCGCTGAGATGTTCACGTTTCGGGGTAGATCTTTGCTGTACGATCGCCTCATCGAACTTTCTAGCGATGACGGCGTCCTTCTATTCATCTATCCGACCAGGACAGGTGCGAGGACCTTTACGCAGCAGTACCTCGGACCAATTCTCGACCCACTCTTGCGCACCGTAACGGTAGTCCACGATCTCCACTCAGAGCTAGGAAGGAACCTGGGTCAAATGAGTTCAGTCAATTACCTGGACGAGTACAACCACTTGGAGGCGCAAGTCCGGAAATTCTGTGGAGCAATGGGCGAACGACACAACAATGAGAGAAGAGCACATTATGAAGTCATCCACGCCGCAAAAGAGGAGATTCTGATGCAACGGTCAGCTTGGGCGGACGATTGGTGGATCAAGCAAGAGAAGCCCCGTATAAGGGAGATAATCACCAAGTACTTCAGCAAGTCGAAAAAGCTCCCAAGCTCCGAGATGAGCGCTGCAACACTGATCCAGGCCGTTCTCGAGGGTGTATCGGAACGGGACTACCATAACGGTGAGCCCACGAAGGGTGTGGAAGTTGGCGTCTTTATCGTGAAGAAGACGAAGGCGGTGGCGAAAGCCCAGAGGGAACCATGATGAAAGATTACGCTTTTAGATGACGGGACTGAGTATTGAGCGCGAGGACAACGAAGTTACGGGTGAACGACGATCATGATCTCCAATTGCGATGATCTTAGATTTTCGCATAGCATTGCGCGGCGTTAGCGGCATGAAACGAACGAGCGAGCCCTGTCTGGAACAGTACAAAAGATAGCGAGTGATTATAGTAATAATACCCAG